CTCAATGATCTGCTTCTGCTTCACCGCTAGCTAGCTATCTAGCATGAAGCTTCACTCTCTTTCGGAGGGTCTGTCTGCACTATGCTTACTGTAGGTACGGCTTGTTCTTCCCCTCCGGCACTTACTACTTACTAGATTACCTTCGAAGCTACTCACGACCCGACACTAGTCTGTCATATCTCCCTGGGAGTTAGACAGACGCACGGAGAGTATCCTGCTTACTTACGAAGTACATGATCTACTTGCCTTTTCTGTTTGGGAATGGGACATTGGCGCTAAGTGCAAGGTATATGCTATGTACTAACCTGCAGACAAGCAGCAGCAGCAGCAGCAGCACTAAAACTCCATGTTCCACAAGACAGCCGACAAGCTCTATACTCTATCTCGAGCTAAGCTCAAGTAAGGGCCTGGTGAATAAGAACATAGTCCTTCACATCACAGACAGGCAAAGCAGTCAACACGGCACGGAATACTGTTTATGAGTTCCGGTGTGAGACATACAGCTTTCACTGTCACTCGGTACTATACTACTTACATAACCCGACACGTAGGGGAAACATGGATGCCTACTCACATCCACATGGGAGTATCAGCCAAGTAAATAATCAGCTAACTACCGAATAGATACATCTTTACTACTAGGTACAGTAGATGTCAGCAACCCTCAATGTGTTGCTTCCTTTAGTTTTTCTAGTAAGTAGTTAGCTTCATTGTTACTCAGCTAAACAATCAACCCTCATCTCTCTGCCGCTCAGCATACCCATGTAGAGTAAAAAAGTATAGTAAAGCAAACCCACATCCACTTCTCTCTCATCTCAACCCTTCAGATATCCATCTATCAATCCCTCCATATACCCATCTCCATCCAATCAAGGTACACATATATAACCTACAGTAAATATCCTACCCTTCCCAAGTCCATCTATACTATAAATTGAACTAAGTAGTCACCAAGTAAACAAAACAAGCAGATAACTGACTAACCAACCAACAAACTAACCACCCAGTAACAAATTACACTCATCTCAGAAACCGGTACAGAACAACAGAATCAGATTCTGTTCAACCTAGATCACACACCCAACCCCACCGTTATGATTTCAAACTTTTGGGGTTTCTGCATTCTGCGTTAGGTCATATGTGGAGAGAAAGGTAGAATAGATAGTCAAGGGACGTTAGTTAGTGGCATGCAAGGTAAAAAAGAACTAGAAACGAATGGAACGGTAGTGAAGGCAAGCGAAGGGTGAGTTGTGAAAATGTTGGGGTTTTTCTGGATCACTCTGGGTGATGGTGGATGAGATGTGTCATATTTGGGGTAAGTAGGTTTTAGTTTACTATATGATCAACTGGTTGCATTGTTGGTTGGTGGGGGAATGGATGGTAGGTAGGTATGTATGTAGGTAAACGGTTCTTCGCTGGTCTATCTATTGGTAACTTGACTTACCTTGGGTAAGTCAAGTAGGTATCTGTCTAGTCTATGTACAATCGAGGTTTCGGTCTAAGATTTTCACAGACTGGACCCCGATACTGTGACCCGCACACAAGAAAGGGATCAGAATCAGGCTAAATGACAATAAAAATCAAAATGAGTATGGAGAGCATGGATAAATCCAGAAGGTAAAAAAGAAGATGCCCGCAATCTATTGGATCCAAACTTTCGTCGTCGGGTTTCCAGAAACCTCCACCTGGTGTTCAAAGTTCGCGAAGTGAATCCCCTTTATTGGAAAGCGTTCCGGATTTCCAACTGCATCTGGCCATCGACCACGCCCTTGATGCTGATGCTTCTCAGATCCTCGACGATCCAGTCAGCACCGGCTTCCTGGAGCTGCGCAAGCGAGTGGGTCGTCGTGAGCGCAATGACTTTGAACCCGGCCGCCTTACCAGCCCTGATGCCCGACGGCGCATCCTCCAGAACTACCAGAGACGAGGAATGCTCCAGACCCAGGCGCGTCCGACCAAGCAGATAGCACCGGGGGTCAGGCTTGCCCAGCTCGACATCTTCCGCCACCACCAGGACCTTGGGGTGGGCGAGGTTCAGCACGCCCAGCCAGCCGTCCACCAGCGCACGCGTTCCAGAGGTTACCACGCCCCAGCGAGCGCCGGCGTCGTCCAACGCTGACATGAAATACCGCGCCCCGGGAATCTCGACCGCGTCCGATCCGTATTCCTTCGGGATGCGACCTTCGATGTAGCTGACATCTAGCGATTGGGAAAGCAACTGGTCAGTCTGCTGTCTGCTGTTGTGGTATATGACGATAAGGAGGAGTAGTGGTGGTGGTAGTTTCAGATCGGAGGTTTCTCAATCGAACTGCAGAGTGTCCAAAGGAATACACTTACACTCCCAATTGGCCTTCTTTGGGTCGTACAACTGGATCGTGTCGATGCTTCGGCGGCCGTGGGAAGTGGCCAAAATGGTCTTGGGGTCAACGCCCAACTCCGCACCGATTCTGCAAGTGATGATTAGGACGGACGGCGTTTGGTTACACGGAGGGAAGTGGTGGGGACGAACTTGTGCCAGTGTTTCACAATCGCTAAAGATCAGATGTCAGTGCATGGTTACAGAGGAGGGGTGGGTGGGAATGAGGGGGGACTGACCATCGGTTGAGTCGACGATGGTGCCGTCAAAGTCGGAGAGGAGTCCGTCAAAAGTGTGGACTTGCGGAGGGGCAGAAAAGGAGCCGGATGGTCTAGACATGATAATGGCGGGGGAAGTAGGACAAGAAAAATCCAGGGCCAGCACAAGGTGGGGGTAGAAGGAATGAGAACAACTCCAAAGATGTGAGTAAATAGATGTAAGGAGTGGACACAGTCAGCAGCACCAGTCAGCAAAAAGGAGGGACAAAAGGGAAAAGAGAAGGTGGGTTCAGGCTTCAGGCCGAAGGAGTGAATGGAGTTGGTAAATCGTGAGAGAGAGTCACTCCAAAGGAACGAATGGCAGCGCCGGATATCCATAGTCTGTAGTAAGAAAGTATGCCGGTATTACCGGAGATCGGCCTTTTGTTGTGCCGGTTATCTTAGCGCGTTGCCGCCGAAATCTTCTTGGCGGCACAAAATTGTTCGGGCGGATCAGAGTGAGTCCCTGTGCTTTGGATTGCCTTTTTGCTCAGAGACGGTTTAGGGGTTATCAGGCAAGATGGTCAAGCTAGGTATGTTCCCTTCATTGGTATCGCCATTATCCTCCTGCTAACCCTTCCTCCAGGCAAAAACTCCAAGCGGGTTCCCGTCCGCCTACGACACAAGATTGAAAAGGCCTCCGCGGCCAAGCAACGCAAGCAGAGAAAGCTTGCAAAGAAGGTACTTCCACTTCTTCTTGCACAGCTATGTACTATTTTACTTCATACTAATGCGGCTTATAGAATCCCGAGTGGCGCTCCAAGATCAAGAAGGACCCCGGTATCCCCAACCTGTTCCCGCACAAGGATAAGATCCTCCACGAGATCGAAGAGAAGAGACGCTTGAAGGCAGAGGAACAACAGCGCATTCGCGATGAGGCCCGCGCTCGTCGCCAGGCTCAGAAGGAAGGTGGAGCCGAAGAGGTCCCTGCTGATGCCAATGTCATGATTGATGAGGACGATCTGATCGACGACGATATGGACGAGGATGTCGGTGACTCCTCGAATCCCATGGCGGCGCTGCTCGCTTCCGCCCGTGCCAGAGCTGCAGAGTACGAGGAAGAGCACTCCGATGACGATGATGAAATGGATGAGGACGATTCCGATGACGAGGATATGGACGAGATGGACCAGGACGAAGAAGGCGGTGCCACTCTGGACGTCTCCGCCCCGATTACCCAGAGCACTTCGAAGGAGAGCTCGCGACGGGCCTTCGACAAGGTCTTCAAGCAGGTTATCGACAACGCCGATGTGGTGCTGTACGTTCTGGATGCTCGTGATCCTGAGGGCACTCGGTCCAAGGAGGTGGAGCGCGAGATCATGTCCGCCGACGGAGGCAACAAGCGATTGATTCTGATCCTCAACAAGATCGATCTGGTACCTCCTCCGGTGCTCAAGAACTGGCTGATCCATCTGCGCCGCTACTTCCCCACTCTGCCTCTGAAGGCCTCCAACGGCTCGGGCAACGCTCACAGCTTCGACCACAAGCAGCTGACCGTCAAGGGCACCTCCGAGACGCTCTTCCGCGCGCTCAAGTCGTACGCGCACAACAAGCAGATGAAGCGGTCCATCTCCGTCGGTGTGATCGGTTACCCCAACGTCGGCAAGTCGTCCGTTATCAACGCCCTGACGGCCCGTCTCAACAAGGGTTCCAGCAACGCTTGCCCCACGGGCGCCGAGGCCGGTGTGACCACCAGCCTGCGGTCCGTGAAGCTGGACAGCAAGCTCAAGCTGATCGACTCTCCCGGTATTGTCTTCCCCAACTCGAGCGACAAGGCCAGCAAGAAGAAGAAGAAGCAGGAGGAGCACGCGCGTCTGATCCTCCTCAACGCGGTTCCCCCCAAGCAGATCGAGGACCCCGTTCCCGCCGTGTCGTTGCTGCTCAAGCGCTTGTCGACGTCGGAGGACCTCATCTCCAAGCTGCTGCAACTCTACAACATCCCGCCGCTCATCCCGACCGGTGGCGATCAGACGCACGACTTCCTGGTCCATGTGGCCCGCAAGCGTGGTCGTCTGGGCAAGGGTGGTGTGCCCAACATTGAGGCCGCCGCCATGACGGTGATTAATGACTGGCGTGATGGACGCATCCAGGGCTGGGTTAACGCCCCTGTGCTGCCCGTGGTGACTACGGCAGAGGGCGCGACGACGCCGGCCGAGGGCGTGGACACGAAGCAGATTGTGACGGAGTGGGCGGCAGAGTTCAAGATCGAGGGACTGTGGGGCAACGGGGAGGATGATGAGATGGCCGAATAGATGTTTTTCTCATGGATACCAGGCGTTATGGTTCTTAAAAGGTAGATAGTGTCAATTGCGATGAACATATACCGAGCAGACCAAGTTACCGTATGTCAATGATAATGTAGTCTGAAAACGGCGCGCTCTGAACCAATGCAGTAGTAGCTCTTGTTCTAATATTAAGTAGTAGTCTTGAGTGAATATTAAAGTAAGTTCAAAGGTGTACTACTACTGGTTCAGCTATTATACTACTCGTAGTAGTAGGTAGCAGTATTCGACACCTCGGTATCAAGAACATGGAGGCAGCCTGCAATGTAGTACTACCAGACGAAAATATATAATAGTAATAGTAGAGAATATGGCACACCATCACCCAGCACATCAACACTTCCAATCCCAAACAAATAAAGTAGTACTAATAACCTATAATCAAACAATTAAAAAAAAAAATCTACACTCAAATTAACATCAACTTGAAACACAATTATCTCCAAAATCCATATACCATAGAATTAAAATAGCACAAGACCTGAAGAAACCTTATCACCACCCACCCGAAGCGATACGATAATCAATCAAATCACCCCCAAGATTCCCGATCCACACGCGCCGCTCCTCCGCGTCTGTCGCGTCACATCATTTCTGCACTCCTTCTAACGAACAGAGGCAAAAAAAGTCCTTTTTTTTACGAACCACACCGCATACCACTTATACCCTCACAAATCAATCCTCATCTTTACTCGCGCTCAATCGACAACCCCAAGAACAAGAGATCAGAAACGCAAAAAGAAAAAAAGAACCATGCCCCGAAAATCAACCAGCAGCAGCACACCCGGCGACGACGGCGGACCAGAACAGTCCCAATCCCAACAAATACACTCCCAATCCCCTTCAGACATCGTCCACCTCCCCGAATCGACAGGCCAAATGGTCGAAGCGACAGAACAACAACTCAAGGCGCGGGCAGAGGGGGGTGTGAGTATTGAGGTATGTATGCATATTTGCCACTTACTATCCCTCTCTTTCCTTCTCATATCCAAAACTACACATGATACGAGGGATATCATAACTAATATGCAATAATGGAAATAATGCAGGACTACCTTCTCCCCCGTTCCCTCACCCTCCGACTAGCAAAATCCGTTCTTCCCCCGAATACATCCATACAGAAGGATGCGGTATTGGCGATTCAGAAGGCCGCGACGGTGTTTGTCTCGTATTTGTCGTCGCAGTATGTCTTTGTCTTTCTTTTCCCTTATTTAATTCTTAAGCGACAAAAGAGAGGGGTAGTTTATTAACGTGAGGTGGTATCTAGTGCCAACGAAGCAACCCTCAAACGAACCGTCGCGCCGTCAGACGTCTTCAGCGCCATCTCGGAATTAGAGTTCGATGGGTTCCGTACGCGATTGGAGCAGGAGTTGGAGGCGTTTACGGAGTTGAAGGCTGGGAAGAGGAGGGCGAAGAAGGGGGATAGTGGTACTGCTGCTGCTGCTGCTGCTGCCGCAGAGGGAGTTGGGAAAAGTGGGGATGCCGAGGAAGAGGAGGAGGAGGATGGGGATAGAGGGGTGAAGAGGGTGAAGCGGGCGGAGGGGGAGAAGAAGAATGGTATTGGTGCTGGGGGGGAGGAAGAGGAGGGGGATGAGACGCAGGAGGAACACGAGCAGGAACAGGAGCAGGAAGATGAAGAGGAAGAGGAGGAGGAAGAGGAAGAAGATGACGAGGAAGAAGAAGAAGAAGAACATAAGGATGACGAGGATGATGATATTGATCGGGTTGAGGATTTGGATCGGGCTAGACGGCCGACGAATCCGGATGTTGAGGGGGATGATTCGGACAGTGAGGATGAGGATGGGCCTGGGAGTCAGCTGCGAGGGGATTTGGGACTGGGTTAAGTTGTGTTCATGATGATTATGTGTGTATGGTATGGTATGTCTTTGTCTCTGTTTACGGCTGATGGTTATGCGGCAACGAAACGGATTGTTGCATGATATCACTTCTACTCCATATCCAATGTACAATGTGTTGATACCCAATTCAACTTCAGCACAACCAGCTGCTCATTATATTCACCACGTGGGGACTCCCTGAACTCCGCACTCAACGCCCATAAGGGCTTGCCTAATGTTGTACAATCATCGGTGCAGTTGACGCCACAAATCTGAAGAGTACCAAATGAACTTCAGAGCATGATAGCTACCGCCTGGAGCAGTGAGGTGAAGCCCATTTGATATCTTCATTATCCCACCCAAACGCCATGTCCCATAGTCTATCATTGGTATCGCCATTAACTGAATTTGAAAAGACTCCCCAGGAAGGCCTTAAATGTAAAGTAATAGTAAAGGAGAAGAAAAAGAAGAAAAGAAGACGGAAAGACGCGCTGACGCAGACCCGAGCTGAGTCATGCGGTCGGCTCGTTCAGTAACAAATTCATCCCCCGAGGGATAGAATCAGGAGAAATGGTCTCGTTCTGTCGCCACCGACCGCTTGGTGGAGGAGTGGACGCACCCTTGCCCACCAGTTTGGGGAACGTCTGATTCGGTCCGTTGTTGCGAGCAGCGCCCGGAGCCAACGGGTGCATCGCCTTGGTGTCGTCCTTGTCCAGCTTGGTCGACTTGTCACTTGTGGCGGCTTTCTGAGCCTTGGTGACCCGTCCGAAATTGTTGATCTTGGAGTTCTTCGCTGGCTCGACCTTCTTTGATCGTCCTTTAGGCGCAGCCTTCTTCGGAGCTGCTTTCTTCGGAGCTGCCTTCTTTGGCCCGTCCGTCTTGGCCGCCTGCAGCACATCTGTAATGCTCCGTCCGTTGCTGGCGGGGTTCGGGCGACCTTTCTTCGCCAATGGTTTGGATTCATCCTCATAACTTGACGATGGAGTAAGGAAGCCTGTGGGAGTAGGTCGTTTCTTGCTGGGGGTGACAACAACCGACACCTCGCCTTGCTCTTTCTTCACTCGTTCCACTTCCGAAGAGTTGCACTCATCGAATACGTCCTCCTGCGCATCCCACCGTTTGAGGTTGGCCAGTCGTGCAACTTCTTCACAATCGCCCTTGACCATCAGATCCCAGCAGTCCTCAAATTCTTTGCCGGTGGGGTACTCATTGTTGATCCACATGGTCACTCCGTTACGACGACTCCGGATCACGGAGCAAAGACTCTTTACCAGGCGACGCACTCCGGGAATCTTCAGACTCGTACCGACCACAATTAGAGCGTCCGGGCGGGAACGGATGTCAGCATTCATGACGGATGTGATAGCCTCCTCGTCCGGGTTGTGCTCGTTGTACAGGACAATGCGGGGTCTCATCTTGCCGATACCATGGCTACGTTGGCCGGTTTCCATACGGAACTGATTATTACGGCAGCACTCCGGGCATTCGGGGGCATCGGGACGGTCAAACAAGCCCGCATCGAAGTCGCTGAGATGCCGGCATTTCTGGCAGACCATCTTGTCAAGACTGCCATGCAACTGAATGGTGCGGGGCCAGGGTGCTTTGACGTTCAACGGAATCTGCGTGGCCAACGGAGGCATTGAGGTCTCAATGCCATCGATGTTTTGTGTGTAGAGACGAGTGAGACGGTTCTCCTGGCCCAGTCGCGCCAGCATGTGGTGGAAAGCTGTGGGAGAGGTCTTGGCTGCTTCCTCGGACAGCGACCGTACCATGTCCTGGAAGGAGGCGGTCAACGCCTCATCCTGGTAGACGGCTGCATCGAACAAGAGCTTGCCCGATGCTTTGAGGTTATGTTTCTTCTGCAGAGACTTGAAAAGACCGTCGGTGGAGCGGAAATCAGGAACTATAATGGATTAGAAAATACGAGGGAAAAGAGGTAAGGACCGACAGTCGCGTGGTGGTGACAGGATTAGGAGTGGGGGTTTGGGAAAGCATACTTCCTGCGGAGGTGGAGATACCCGCACCGGCGATGACGACAATTTTGCGGTGACGCTGGATCGTCTTGACGAGATAGTCAATTTGCGACTGCTGCTCAGTGTAGGACAGGCCGGCGGTGGCCGACAGGTCGAGATGCTGAGTTCGGCGTTCTTTGGGGGCGGCGACCCGACGCTTCTTCCTGGCGGGCGGCAAGTCGTCTTGGCTGCGGGCGGCGCTAGGCTCATCCGCGTCCTGCGACGGGGGCGGCGACGGATAGAAACCAGGCGGTGCCAGAGGAGAGGCCGGCGCTGAACTTAGACTCGAGCAATCCGAGTCATCGTCCATGCCTAATGACGCCAGGAGGCTCTTTGGGGACGAGCGGGAGGAGTTGGTGGTGGAGTGTGTAGTAGAAGTAGTAGTAGTGGTGGTGGTGGTAGACGAAGTGGTGGCAGTACGACGGGGCGCCATTTAGGTCAGGCCGTCGCGGTGACGAAGCGAACAGCGAGCACAAAGAGATCGGGAGAGGAAAAATTGGATTCGAGGGTGGGAGAAAAAGGACTCAAGGAGAGCTCGCTGTTCACGGAAAGCTGGGGGGGATCAAAGCTAGATATCGTCCCGAGAGAAAACCATGGAGGACCGGGAAAGAGACGGAAAACATCAATTGACAAGTGGGAATGACGGTAAGGGGGATTTATTTCGGACAGATATTGCTTCTTTGTTTCCCCTGTCGTTCACGTCTTGCTCCCTGACTTCGGGCGGAGGTAGCGAAAAGGGAGTTGGGTGGAAGAGGAAGAAGAAGAAGAACGAGAAGAAGAAGACGACGACAATGGAGGCAGATGAAGAAGAGGAGGAATGGGCAGCACAGGAGGAACCGCCCCGTGACTGGGACAGCGCAAGTCTGGGTCGAGGACAGCAAGTGGTGAGGTCAAGTGGAAAACGGATCGAGAGGGAGAGCGAGAAAAAAAGGGCTACTACTAGCAGGCCAACACGACTAGAATGACGGACTTACTGCTGCTTGGGAGTGTTGCAGCCAGTTCGACGGCAGGCCGGTCAGATCCTCTCGCTTGCAGTGTGTTTATTTTGACCCACGGGTATCGCTCGGGAAGAGTCGACGAAGGCTCTGCATCAAAGAGGGCTAATGGGGAAATGGGGGATTTGGGGTAGAGGGAGAGAGAGGGTGGTCCTGCAGCAAACACAAACTCGGGCAACGAAGTGGTATGCTCAGAGGAATGTGTCTGGAAGCAAGAGGGGCAGATTTGATCGCGTGTTGATCAAGTTGAATGAATGCCGGTGGGAATGATGATATTGCTCTACTACCTACACCTAACTCAGTACTAACTTGGGACATGCTGCTATGCTGCTATGCTGCTACTATGCCACTAACACCCTCTCTGATTGCCAGTTACATTGTTACGGGGTTGCAGTGACTATTGAGAATTTTCCGTAACAACCGTGTATGGACAGCCCGGTGGGGGCTGGCCCTTGGGTGCATTTGGTGTTAACCTCGTTTCTTTTCTCCTGCAAATTCGGTTTTGTGCTGCCAATCTCGTTACCGATCCCATACCGCGCTAAAGGGGGCTGTCGGCCTGGGAGCTTCTTTCATTGGCTGTGGAAGCTTCACCCAATTCTCCGGCCAACCACAGCCCAAACATATACTTGCCCGTGCGAGGCAATCATCACGACGCCTTCCTACGCATTGGAGAGCTGTCGGATTGATCAAAGATGTCGAATGTCTCTTTTACTTTTAGTGAAGGATGCCTAGCATAGCCCGAGTCTGCTAGGCTGTAGATATTCAGAATCCAATATCCCGACCGTCATTCGCACTAACCGGTCTCCGACTATCGTTCCGAATCCGTCCCGTCAGACGCTGCGATTGTTGGGAAGGCTGAGCGTTTATTTCATAATCAGCAATCAGGGTCACAGGGATACCTTACGTATACTCGTCATCTATTTGCGGGGCTGATAATCTGCCAGTAAAATCAGTGATATAATCATCGTATAATTAAGTAGTGAACCCATACTGGATTGTTCGCTCCCTTTACCATGGCATTGAGATTCACACGTTATCTGTGTGATTAAACTGGACCCGACATTACCCAAGAACGAACAAGCGCGGGGTATCCGATGAAACTACCGGCCAAAATATGCTTGAGGCATTTGTCGTCGGAAAGTGCGGCGCTGTTCTAGCAAGAACTGGCATGATCCGGTTTTCCAGAGTGCCGGATCTTCCACGGACTTTCATTCCCCGCACCTGTCTTACTGTTTAGCTGTCTTCTCTGCGAACTGAAGAGAGATCATGAAATGCAGATGTCATAAATAGATGAGATGTAGTTGCTGGTCGCGACCTTGCTCTAAGTATGGCCGAGTCGAGTCGGTTATGTTCTCCCGCATCATCTGCCGGGCCTCGTGGTTTCTTTCTCCGTCCGATCAGGCGCTCATCCTGTGGCTAGCAAGCCCACTGTGAGACTGCACTATGACTGCAACCTAGGAAACAGTCCCTGCTATAGAGAGATGTGCTATAATTTCGGCTTGGTTTAACAATATATCATGCGTCCGAGATGATCGGACGTTGTTTGCGGGAAGGTGGATGATTCGACAAGTGAGGCGGGTTGAGCCCCGCTCTCTAAACGGTCTTCTTCTCCATCTTGAACAATGCAATGGATACTTGCTAGGATGACATGTCTTTTGGCCCACGAACGGATGGGAATAACATTAGATAGCTCATATGTATAACTGGAGTAAGGTCTCATAACGCATCATGCCCTTCTGTATCTCGTCTAATCACTTTTCTTGACAATTCCCTTGATGGCTGTTTCTGTGACTATTACTTCCGGAAATTCCCAGTCCACGAAAGTATGACGCTGTTATCAACTGACAGTGGTAGAAAGGGTACAGATACAGCTGGTATCAGCGAGCAAGCGCGTGGTTGTAAGCCGACCGCAAACCTCAAGCAACTACTAATGTTCTAGTGGTAGTAATGATAGGGTTCACGATTGACGTATATTTGCGGGAACTATAAGGAATATCTGCACGGTCGCCTAGCACAGACTTCGCCCATTGGCAGCTCCTTCCTTTGACTTATATCAAAACCCGACGCTAGAATGGCAACTGCCACAAGGTGGTCAATACCTTTACTTTGGCAGAGAGTCCAAAGATGGATTGTGCCGATATCGTTGCGCCCATGGCTGGTGGGGCCGGTGTGATTGGTTGTCCTGGTTACCACAGCACATGACCTCACATGACGCTGACTAAGAGGCGCGGAGAGCTCCACCTGACCACTAGTCCCGAATAATGAAACTATCATCTTGGAGAGTCAACTTAGCCCATGATCATCCTCCCGGCCAAAGGGTAGCGTCTGGATCCGGGGTTTGAATGCCATGAGGGTTCTGTCTGCTATCAACTAAGCCTTTTGCATATCATTCAGTGCCCCTCGGTGGCTACACCCCGCCCATTTTACCTGCGCAATTGCCTGCCGAGGTTCAATTGTATCGAACTATGATATCTGAGTCTTGCGATCACTGGCCTCCCAAGACATTTTACTACCCCCATTTGATTTAGAGCTTCCCACCCCACAATGCCCTTGATGATGGACGATAGTATCAATGTCGACGATCTATTTGGGGAGCCCACCTCCCTTGAGCTGGGCCTGCCACCATCGGCTTCCCCTGCCAGAGGCCTTGCCCAGCGTCTGGATGAGATGCGACTGCTTGGCTGTTGCCAGTAAGTTACTGTCTTCTAAGGTGTTGCGAAACTTAGCTTGCCTATATGTACTAACTATTTTCAAAGGAAGATTGCATGGTCCAAATTGGGATGTATTGCTTACATTTCACAAGACTCCCTAAGAGTGAAGGTCCGCCATCTGCAATGTCGACCGTCAGATGGCAAGTGGGTGCTCAGCGATGAGACTCCCTTGATGCCAATCACTGAAGCCCACGGCGGGCATGCTCTCACTCACCTGAGTTGGAACGAAGCTGGCTCCGATCTGGCCGTGGTCGATGTGACTGGACGTGTCTCCGTCTATCACATCCCTTTCGCCCTCAACAGTGTCAATGGCCTTCGACAGCCGGCTTTTTCTCCCGATGACGGTTCTCAAATTGTTGGCATGATGTGGCTGAACACACAAAGATCTGTAGGTCATCTGCGAACCACATCTGTTTCTCAATGCTGAACTTTGTTAGGTGCATGCATTCTATCAAGCAGCCAAAGTACAGGGGCGCTGGGCTTACTCGCCGTTCCGTCGCCGCCCAATAGGACCATTTCACCCTGCAAATAAAGCGGCACTGCTATGCATCACACGCTCTGGGTCCATGAAGCTCCTGTACCAGAACCCGGACGGCAGATGGGATGACATCTCTGTGGATTTGAAGAGCACAAGCTACTCAGATCGGTTGCTGTCACATGCTGCTATGGTCGCAACTCAGAACGGCATTCTTGTCGCTACCTACTCGGTATGCCAGAAAATCCGCTTCTATCGGGTGCAGATCAACTGGAACCCCCCTCAATGGGACCCTGCACAGCAGCCAAAGCAGACGCCACCCCAATTCCCAGTTCCTAGCTTCCGATTCACGCACTCCAAGGTGGAGACGTCCTGTACTGTGCCTGGGATGCATCGGAATGACGGAGAAGAACCAGACATGATGCACCAGTCGATCTCAAATCCGTTATATACTCTCAGTCGCCTGGATATAATTCTCCCAGCCTCCGATAACGCTGCTGGAACCACAGCGAACCCATGGATTGTTGCGGTTTTCTCAACACCACCCCAAGCTACTCCGGATCATCCTGGCCCGCAAGGACCAGCAAGTGTAATTGTACGATGGCAACTGGACACTGCTGCTTTCACCCTCCACCCCAAGTTTGATGAAATGGCTGCAAAACGAAACAGTACTCAGATAAAGGTAGATGAAGGACCATCAATGCCTCAGACAGACCGCGCTGACTATTTGAATAGCCTAGGCCTGTGCTGCGTCGACTGGAAGACATCTATTCTGACCGATATGTCATATCCGTGGACCAAATCGAGTACGGCAATGTGGTTGCCATCACTTACGATGATAGCTCCGTGTCTTTCTATGACCCGAAAACCATGGCATTGTTCAATGGTGTTGATGATGCGAATACGGTGACGGGCCTAGCTCAAGCAGGGTTTCACTATGCTCCAGACGCCTCAGGTTGTAGTGCCTCGAATTGTCGATTTGAATTGTGACTAACGATGTTCTGACAGGTCAAGGTCAACACGTCTCTTTCTCACCGAGCGCATGCGCTGCAGTCATGCTAGATAGTGACGGCCAGACGCACCTCAGGGTTATGGAGCATTCTTACGGTGCCGAAAACGGTCTTTACGATGAAAGTGTGTTTTTCTTTCCTGCCAGCTGATTTACACGCTAATAAGCTTTGAACTTGGTAGACAAATTTTCTGCAGCCATTGCATCACTCACGTTAGCCTTCTGCCGTGGATGTGGAAGTGAAGTCAACACAGACGATATCCTCTTAATTTTAATACAGCAACTCTCACAGGGTCGGTACCAACCTTCAGTTTCCATCGAACTATCACTTCTAACGCTTGCTACCAGATGCTCAAATCACATTCATCAATGAAGTTTACCGCGCACTGCCGATTAACTGCAATTTCACAGTGGAGCAGGAAAAGCTGATGAACCACCCCTACATCCCCAAGTGCCTCAGTATACAAGCTGCCTTGGGATTTGCCGATAAGTACAAGCCACGAAGTTTTGCTTCTTCTGTCTCTTGGTCGATTCTTCAGCTTCGCCACGCCGCCATTTTATACCCATTTTTCTTTCAGTACAACAAAGGGATTCAGGCAGAGCCACATGATCCTGGTTAGTCAGTCCACATTGACCGTCACGGAAGCTGCTAACAGCACGGCTATTATAGACGTCTTGCGTATGATGCTCGGAAACACCAGATGGGCACTTGATTTTTCTCTCTATATACTAAACGAGCTCTTCGACCTCGCCGATGATTTTGAAAGCGTATCGGCTGATCAAGAAGCTTTCAGCCAAAAATGTTGGTCAAATCTAAACTTAAGAAAAGTATCAACTGTACTAACGCTCCGTAGTGAAAACCACAAATTCACTAGCTCTCATCATTCTCCTCTCAAGCATGTCCCGTGCCTTCTTGCGCTTTATTTGCCGTGGCCTGCGTGGCATCCACGCGGGCTACACCAACGCATCTCTAGGTGGGGACTCACGTCTACAGTACGCAGAAATTTGCCAAGCTTTAGATGCCACGCCTGCACGCATCGACGTATACGAAAAGTTCCTTTCGGCTGTCGATTCAGCCGTACGACACGCCTACCACGGTGCAGGTTTTGGTGACACTGAACGTCCGGGGCCAGAGAAGGAATTACTCGTCAACGCCCGCATTCCCCCTGTTCTCGTTGCAGCTGTCTCAACAATCCTGAGACAAACAGTACCGGGACTCAAGTCCGAGGTCGACCGCATGGCCATCTACATGCACGACTACTCGTGGCTTGGGTTCGGGTCCGACCGGCGCTCGGAGTTATATCGGCGCACACGAGAAGTGGACATCATCAAGAAAACGCCTATCCGGATGACGATCACACAAGGCTCGAATGGACCCCAGCTTGGGAAACAGAACAATCAGGGAGTGCTTCGACGGCGATGCGTCCGCTGCTGCGACGTATCTGAGGGGACTTATCCGCCACGCTCAGTCCTTGCCTTCCGCATGATATTCAAGCTGGGTCATCTACGATCGTGCATTTGTGGAGGAATGTGGACTCTTGAGTCGGGCTTGAACGAGGCGGGGAAGTAAGGATTTCGACCCTGGCGGTCGTTGGTAGTTGCTTTGGGAAATTATGTTGATACCATGTGGTCAAGATAAAATCGTTTCAGGCGTGTGGTATAATAGCGTATATAGATGCAAACATGAATGGACAAGTATTACGATGTCAAGATTGCATCTATCATTGACTGGGCATTAGACAAGGCCGATGTTACACTGACCCCGTTCATAACATGTGGACGTATGTCGACTTCAAAGACCATACCCAATGAATAATAATTGTTGCATATGGACAGTCGTACAAGATAGACTATACTACTCGAGAGCCAAAAAAAAAAGGAAAAAAGAAAAAGGGCACTACCCAGGGAGACTAGATATCACAGTACTCCGCAACTACCACAATACCAATAATAAGAATCTTTATCTCATGTCATGTCAAGCAAGGCCTTCATTTAAAAACATCGATCTGCATCTTCTTTTTTCTAAGATACATAATCGATTTCTTTTTTCAAAAGAAACCGTTTTGATGAATCCGACCCCCCTCACGGCAAGGTTAGGTCAACCCGTCATCACTAAACGACGTTCCCGTTAACTCCATCCAGATCCAGAGACGACCCCGTCTTAAACATTTAAGCCTGTTGCAATACCAGTTAGCCAATGCCCTTCATATTTTCCCCCGCGGGGTCATATATTCAGGTATGTTGGGCAGGTCGTACCTTAACAGCGTACTTCCGCTGGGGGAAGTGGATCTCCTGCTTGCGCTTGCGCTCGGTCTTCAGGGTAGCCTCGTGCTTGGTGAGACGGCGGCGGAGAGCACGGGTGAGCTTGGGGCGGAGGTCAAGAGGAGTGTACTTCTTGCTCTTGTAGAACAAGCGGAGCTGAGCGCGCTGGTTGGCGTTGATGACGGTCAGAACGCGAGCGATCGACTTGCGAACGTCGTGGCTGTTAAAAGACGGTATATCAGCATCCCTGTTCTTGTTCTTGATCTTGTTCCTGGTTCACTGCGCATGTGTGCCCAAATTTTTCATGTAGGTGGTAGATATGTTGGATTTTGCGCCCTGTCGGAAAGTTTCTTCTCGGCTTGGATCTTGTTGTCGTTCGTGGTCGTGTACCCCTCGTTTCCTTATTGTAGGTAGATTTCATGGGTTGTCGGGATTTCTCTTCTTAACTGGTATTCGTCGTCTCATTTTTCCAATTGTCGAATGTCGTTGTCGTTGCCTTCCTCCCGCCGTAATCCACAATCCGACAGGTGCAAATCTCATATCCTTCACACACCACAACGCACACACATGAGGGGTTCGCAGGAGAAAATCAGATGATTCTTTTCAAACGCACATTCTGTGGGTCTTCGAGGAGGCACCGCCAGCGATCTTCTGGACACGGAGCTGGCTCAGCTCGGTCTTCAATTCCTCCAGCTGCTTGGTGAGGTCATCCTTGCTCTTTCCCCAGAGCTGACCAGCCTTGACCTTGGACGACTTCAAATAGAAAAACTCCCGTCAGCATTTCACTTTTTTCACGCAGAATCAAAAACTGCGAATAGCAGCATGGCGCATTCAACATACCATGGTGGGCGGCTTCGTGTCGTATCGTACGGGTTGTCGACGTGAGGATTGAAGATGGACCGGGTCAATTTGGGATGTTCGTTGTGGGACTAGGGTTTGATTTTTTCTGGGTGTGCGGCGGCTTAAGCGGGCACGTGATTGTGGCTGGTGCCGTGGCCAGTTGCTTTGGGTTTAGCAGTGCCGCGCCCCGGCATGACGCCGCCTCCGTCCGCCGCCCCGGCCGCCCTGACTTGGCCGTGCGATAGTGGGTTAGACTAAGGCTGCTGTCGCTGCTGCTGCTACTGTCGTTGTCGTTGCTGTTGCTGTGCCGCCGGTCGGATCATGTTGCGTTGGTTATGACGGGGTTTGTCCTGAAGCTAGCATTACACTCTTCATTCTATATTCCCGACTTGACGCGGAGACTTATCGTCGTTATCGGTGTCGTTGATCAACCTCTTTCTGCTTTTTCTACACACACATCACTCGCAACCTACCTACCTATATACACCTTCATATTGTCGTAATCCATCATCCATGGCCACCTCAACCGGTACCGGCTGGGCTCAGCTCCGGCAGCAAGCCCGATCTCTCGAGACTCAGGTACGATCATCGCTTCCCTGTCATACGGAATGGAAATCCTAACAATGTGTATACATGATCATAGACCGAGAACCTCTTCCACACATACTCTCAATACGCCTCATTAACGAAGCTCCCACCCACACCCTCGGAGGAAGAACAGCGGATCGAATCGCAGCTCAAAGACCTCCTAGAACGAGTACGCATCCACTATTCCCACTCCATCACAATCACCATCCTAATACCACGTCACATGAACTAATCTAATGGATCAATCACCAGCGCGACTCTCTGATCTCCCAACTCGCCCGCCTCCTCGACTCCGAAGCAACCCTCACCTCCTCCGCCCTCAAACAAAACAACCTCGCCCGCCACCGCGAAGTTCTCCACGACCACCGTCGCGAACTACAGCGTCTCAAATCTGCCATCGCCGAATCCCGCGACCGCGCTAACCTCCTCTCCAACGTCCGCTCCGATATCGATGCCTACCGCAACTCGAACCCGGGTCAGGCAGAAGCAGATTACATGCTTGAAGAGCGGGGTCGGATCGATGAGAGCCATAATATGATTGATGGGGTGTTGAGTCAGGCTTACGCTATCAATGAGAACTTTGGTCTGCAGCGTGAGACGCTGGCTAGTATCAACCGACGCATTGTGGGCGCGGCGAACTCAGTGCCGGGCATGAATGCGTTGATTGGGAAGATCGGGTCTAAGAGGAGACGGGATGCGTTGATTTTGGGGGCGTTTATTGGGTTTTGCTTTTTGATGTTGCTTTGGTTGAGGTGAGGGTTGCTTTACTTTGTCTGAAGCATGTTGTGTTTGTGTTTGTTGTCTGCGTTGTCTATTGTGGGTTTGGGATGGGCGTTTGGAGGAGTGAGATTTGTCTCTTTGTTCTATTCTTTCCTTTGTCTATGCGCTTTCGTTGCGTCTATACTATACAGAGATTAATGGTGGGGGGAGATTTGTTTCCTGGTGTCCGTGGTGTTTGGAGCATATTCCACACTCTCACTCACACTCACGCAAACACCCTGGTATGTACATACACAGAGTCCAGAATCCAGTATAAACTGGTGATCCCGTACCTGTCCAGCCATGGCACACCAAACCCATCTAGGGCATAACAACACGAGGCTTCTTCACAGCTTCACCCTGACCCCTCGCAGCATCCCACTCCTGCGCCGGCATCTCCGACTGCAAACTGACCTTCTTTTCCTGCACCAACTTGCGCACCCCGTTATTCAGCGCCTCCAACTCCTCCTTCTCAGCAGGACCACTACCCGCCCACCGAATGCGACAGTTCTCATCCAACAAATACACATACCCCACCTTCGAGTTCAACATCCCAATACTCTCCTTCAATCCATCATCCAATCCCTTCCGCACCAGGAAGTACCGTTCATGCTGCTCCTGCGGCAACTTTGCCCGCATACGCCACATGAACATCTTAACCAATCCGGCCTTCAACGCATTCTCCTCCAGGTTGATATCAACCTTCTGCACCATGCCGTCTCCCTCCGAGGCAATCGTCTCCCACAGACCGGGGTTCTGCTCCTTGCCTGTGAAGGTAACGACCTGCGACTCGGCCCACACGCTCGAGAAGAGGTTCACGATTGTGATTTTGCCGCGGAAAAGAGTCGTCGTGTTCTGGGGTTCTTTCGGTGAGGCGAGAGTGATGCCGTGCATGTTGGGGAAGTAGAGGGCTTTGTCGCGCTTGAAGAGGCGGGGGTTCGACATGAAGGTTTTGCCTTCGTGGTAGCGCATGTTGGACCATTCGCGGAAATAGGGCTTTGCGACTTGTCGGGTTCTATAGTTTATCATCGAGACTTGATTAGAAATTGTATCAGGAGTATAGGCCTAGAAAATAAAATGGGGTCGTACAATTCCTTCCGCCGCTCAAGATGTCTCTCGTAGTTCACGAAATCATCTCTCCTCTGTCGTATAGAGCGGTCATCGACACCCGTATTCTGTCCTTCCTTGGGTGGGATTACCGATCCAATAGGTCGGTCTAGCGTCGGAGGTATGAAGTCGTCATCGCCGGGTTGGCTAGTCGGGGAGGGGACCTTGGATGCTGTCGCGGAGTAGTTTGCCTGGAATTGGGCTACTCTGTTGGTCTTGTTTGCGAGAGATGCGATGGGGGAGGGTGTTTTCGGCTTGGTTTCGCTGCTGGTGTCGGGTTTGCTCGAGTAGTAACGCAGCGCAGCGGTTCGGGGCCGGAGTGCGGCCGCATTGCGCAATTGGCAGCTGAGGCAACGACTGTTCTGGAGGAGCGTCGGCTCAGTTAATGAGGCTAGAAGCCCCGTGCGCTTCCACATTGTTGGAGGTATCGGTGGGGAAGTAAATGAGGTGGGTGGGTTGGTTGGTTGAGATGTCGGCAGACTCTCTTCACTGGACTATCACTGATAATTGTTGCTCGAGATCCACTCGCCGACCAGGCCGAGTTTAATTGGCGGTCCCGTGACTTGGCGACATTTTCGTGACTGAGCATCACGCGTCACTGGTGGGATTCGTGTCACTCTGGATTGATTTGAATATTCCGATGCTGGGACTGTCCGGTGGATTGTCTGACTGCATGAACTTTGTATTCATGGCTGCTTCCGTGGATTAAATGATATTGTTACCTGCTAGGCAGCAGTGACGCAAGAACTCATGGCTCGCCGGATCTTGAATCTCGGGACCTTCCACATCACCATACCATGGCGACGGTGGTTAAGGACAAGGAGGCCTTTTTCAGGGAATTAGAGCGGCTGGATTATCTCAGTGACGGTGAAAATGAGGAATTCAGTTGTCTGGTGCATCTGTCAAGGAAGCGCTATGAATGCGTTCCGTCCGATTCGATCACTCTGGCCTCAGATATAAAGGCTCCCCCAGCGCCGCTGGTGAGAGCTTCTACGGAGCCTTTACTTGCTTCTTCAAGTGTATCTGAGGTCAGTATTGAAGAGGAAGTTGATACTACGTCTGAGCAAACACGAACGCCAGCTGTGACTAGATCAAAATCAACAGACGTGATGCCGCCGAAAGCCAAGACTACCGGTGATGGCGTCTCTAAAAGAAAGAGACGTGTGTTTAGGGCTATAGAAGTTCCAGAACACCGGAAGATACTCAGGGGTTTCATTTTATGTTAGTATTATATCTTCAGCTGTGTACCTATAAGCGTTCAGTGACACTGATTCAGAGAACTAGACTACATCCCCAACAATGACACATCAGACCTCCGACGGCTCCAAATGCAGCGTGCGCGTGAATACGGTGCCTCGCGAGCAACGGAATGGAATGAGACTATCACTCATGTCGTTGTAGACAGGTGGCTCACGTACGAGAATGTCATGAGACATTTCAAGAATAAGCCCATTCCAGTAGGTCTAGGAACTCATGCAATGTCTAGTCTGATACTAATGTCCCTGAAGGAAAACGTTGCTCTCGTGGACTGTAATTATCCTCTCTTATGTATTGGGGCCCGCACTATTTTGGACGCGACTCAATATCGCTTTCGGGTCCGTGGTGCACCTGATCCTAGGGAGGCCAAAGAATCCTCGCCTGCGCGCGATCCCTCGTCAATCGGGTCGTTGCCGATAAAGCCAGCGAAGGCGAAACGCGGCTACATTGATACACAGAGCACCGTTGACGAGACTGACACTGAGCTGTCCGAACCGGAGATCGACGAACATCCGGAAGATAAACAGGTCACCCATGAACCGGACCGGGATCGCGATGCTTTGGATGATCTGATCGAGGAAGCCAAGGCCATGAAGGACTTAGTAAATTCCTCCCACTACATAAATCTCAAAGCCTTATACTGACAAATGACCCAGCCCTTAGAGCCAGATTCAGCCGACGAGGCAGCAGCAGCCGAGACAACCGACGACGAGACCTCCGACTCATCAGACGCCGGGCCAGCGAAGAAGAAACGGAAGACTATCGAAAAAGACGACTGGCAACAGAAGTTCGCGTGCATGCAGAGGCACGACGCAAAATCGAATTCAGAGAACCCAAACAGCAAAACCATAGCCATCCTCCAGCAAATGTTAGACTACTATACGCGAACAAACGACCACTGGCGAGTCCTCGCCTACCGCAAAGCCATCAGCGCTCTCCGAAGACAACCCCATAAAATCACCACCAAATCACAAGCCCTAGCCATCCCAGGAATCGGACAACGCCTAGCCGACAAAATCCAAGAAATCGTCTTGACCAACCGCCTCCGCCGTCTCGAAAACGCCAACAACTCCCCTGAAGACCAAGTCCTCCAACTCTTCACAGGCATCTACGGCGTCGGCATCAACCAAGCATCCAGATGGCTCGCCCAAGGCTACAAAACGCTCGAGGACCTAAAATCCAAGGCCAACTTGACCCCCAACCAGCGCATCGGCGTAGACCACTACGACGACTTCGCCCAACGCATCCCTCGATCCGAAGTCGAAGCCCACGGCGAAATCGTCCGAAAAGCAGTCCATACCGCCGACCCAGACATGCAAGTCATCATCGCGGGCTCGTATCGCCGCGGCGCCCCGGACTGCGGCGACATCGACCTACTAATTACCAAGCCCGACGCCGAGATCCACCACATCAGAACCGTCATGATGGGATCCGTAGTCCCGAAGCTCCTTAAGCAAGGTTTCCTGCAGACCAGTCTGGCCAGCTCATCATCCCGAGACGGGTCCAAATGGCACGGTGCATGTACCTTACCAGACAACGATGAAGATAGAATTACCCGCCCCTGGCGACGTATCGACCTCCTATTCGTCCCCGACGCAGAGATCGGAGCCGCACTAATCTATTTCACCGGCAACGACATCTTCAATCGTAGCATGAGGCTGCTGGCAAGCAAGAAGGGCATGCGGCTCAATCAGCGAGGTCTTTACACGGATGTGCTACGCGGCCCTCAGCGCGCCAAAATCAATGAGGGCCGATTACTCGAGGGGCACGATGAGCGCCGTATCTTTGACATTCTGGGTGTGCCTTGGCGGCCTCCGGAGCATCGCATCTGCTGATGGTGGACGCGTCTGGGTGGCTGCCTTGACGGGTGACAGATAATATTTCTCGGAGCTGTCGGGAAGGTTTCTGCTTTGCAGGTTGCTTTGTGGTTGGGGGGAATTCCGCCAGACCGACTTCTCGGTGTGCGTCAGATGGGCAGGCAGGGCGGCAGCCGCGAGGAGACCTGAAAATTCCCGCATAAGGAGATGAGATGATGAAGGTTTAAGGGGGAGATGGAAAGGGAGCAGGTGTGTCTGACAGGTAGAGAAATGGGGAATGCAACTACTACTTCGTGTATGTATGTGGCACACGCGTTGCTGGTTGTATTTCTCTTGGGGAAGTTTGCTGCTTATTGTTCGGGAGGAATGACAGTGGGGAGGGTGGTGAAAAGGCGGTCACGGTTACGGTCACCATCACTATCATTATTCTTTAAAGCTTTGATAGAGGATTCTGAAGATCTACTTCGGTTTGCGCCAAAGATCAGTACAGAGACTTAGCAATTGAATCTCTATCCTAGACTAAATCAGCCTCTAGTTAGCTCCGGATGATAGAAGGATGGACTCAAAACCCGGATGAAGTAGCCATTAGCCGGGATGATTTATGCCCCTGGGGGGGTAAATATGCAGGTCAGAACGAATAAAGCTTATTATTGCTATGAAAAATGACAAAATCGGGGCCTTTTTGACGAGGATTGGTAGGTTCAAAGTCAGCGGCAAGCAATATAGCAACTATCACGCAGAAGACGGACTAACGTCGCAGCACTCACAGCCAGCCGTTAGATCCTGCATAGTACGTGCCCATTCCCTCCAAGATTCGTAGACAATCTCCTACAGCCTTGGAAAACGGGCAAACATTTCCGCCAACGCGCCCGGCTTCCATCTTCGGCGGGTTTGCTGGCGTAGAAGTATGCTTGTTACTATTGGAACTGATGGCAGTTGGCGCCACCATTCATTTTCCTGTTCATCATTATCGAACGGACCTCCTCCCATGATCTCTTCGAAAGCCTTGTCGATACCCATACTTGGCGGAATGCGAACTTGACGGCCAGTAATCCAACCGTGCTGGGGGCCTCAAGTTTGGCCAGCATTGACTGGTTTTCCCATATATTTCGGTCACACTTGTCGGAGGGAATATCGGGCAAAAGAGTCAAATACTCAAACCATTGTTCAGAGTCACTGGGAGAGTGGATGCTGATATCAAGTAGTAAGTTGCCATTAGGTTCCCATGCGCTGAGTGTGGAAAACAGCTCCCTAAATGCTTTGATGATTAGGCAATCATCTCTATATCCCATTTGCATCGTCGCTCGAGTAGAAGGCGCACAAAGCATGCAATCATACTCTTCGAGTTCCAAACAGAGCCATATGTAACGCACGAGAGCCCGGTTCCGTTGAATCATCAAAGCAAAATCGTCGAGGCGTGATAGTGTGAGCTTGATTCGGGCAAAGCTGTGCTGCTCAATAATCGTCTGCCACTGTCATGACAGTGTAGCGAAGCCAGCCAAGCTACAACCATCCTGCACTAAGGCTTCCCGGACCAGAATCCGAATCTCTGCAGGCAAGGAGTACCAAGATATCATGTTAGCTGATATTAACGATATGAATATTAAATCCATGAATGACGATAAGAGAAATGGTCGAAGGGTAGACAATTAGCCTCGTATGAGCATGTAGCTGGTGGTCTGCAGAGTAATTGATCTGATGCTGTGAGATAGGACTCCATAACTGATGCTCTCAAAGATCCTGACAGGAAATTGGTAGGAGCGACTGAAGGGTCTTTCCTTCTTCCTTTGGTTGCTGGTTAGATCCATCCTGTGGTCGCTGCTAGATACCTTTCTCTGCCTATGAGACACCTGCTATGATGATAGGAAAGGTGATGGTGCTGAGCGTAAAAGAATTCTACTTTATCGATGTAGTCATTTTTTGCATCTTTTCCGGTAGCGGAGATGCCATCGGGAAGAAATCGCTCATCTGTGATGGTGGCAGCTTAGTAGTAGGATAGGCTGCAGGCTGCTGCATGCAACTATGGAAGTATGCCTAACACGGAAACAGAGCTAGGAGCGTGATGGAATATTTGCGGAACATCATATAGGGAGAGTGATCAGAAATCTAGCCAGTTCACATTGTCTCTGATGATTAGTACTGAAGAAATCAAAGTCTGGCGTAGACTGTGATCTAAAAATATATAAAATTGGCTAGTTATGGTTGTCAAGATAGATGGCTATGATACGAAGAAGCGATCAAAGAGAGAGCGGTCAGGGAGTGTTTCACAGTGGGGCCACAGATTTCCAGCTAATGTCTTTCGACAGGTATCAAAAGTGAAAAAAAGTCGAGTATCACAAGAGCCGATGCAGCCTGGCTGATCATGTCCACTTTATAGGCTGAGAGCCCTGCCACACCGCTGAAGGTGCACATCATCATGCTGTATATACCATAGACCATCGCCGCGCCAGAACGGAGCTGACATGTCCGCGGCCTTTGGACAATTGTTCATTTTTCGTTAGAATAGTAAAATGTAATGAATCCACGGATGATGAACCTGAATCGATAGTTAGTCAACACCAGTCACCGATCTCATCACCGCCTTTCATGCGGTGAGGCGCATCTCAACCGAAACCCGTGACGGTGCAGGCGGCCAGTGACAGACCGCCCGTAGAAAAGTCGTGGTTTTGCCGCTGCTTGCTCCAGATTTCCCCTTCATCCCACTCCCTCTGGTGCGCTGCCTCATTCTAGTCTCTATCATTGCGTGCAGTTCTGCACTATTCCTCCCCTGGATCATTCAGTTAACGTTAGCCCATCAACCCTCATCTTTCCAAACCTTGTGCGGCACCTTCCGAACGGCGTGGTGGGTTCTGCCGGTCGGTGTTGTGGCCAAGCTGCTATTTTGCCATCCGTTTCTCTCACCCCTCGTCTTCTCGAGACCCTGTGTGCGTCACTGTCTCACGGCTCCGGCGTGCGCGCTGTGCCTTTTTGAATCGATAGATCTGTCGCTTACAATATCTTTAGTGCTTTTACACGCGCAGTCTTTGCTCGAGTCATCCCCCCATTTTATTGTGTTAATCCCGGTCCCTCCTTGCCGAGTGCCCGCCCGGCCACACACTTTCCCTCTCAATGGGTCGCAAACCGAACCAACTCATCCTCGAGTTCTTCATTCGAGGCCAGAAACTCGAGGACGCCAGTAATCGCTACCAACACACGTGCAAAGCTTGCGGCGAGAAATTCCCCAAGGGTCGCATCGACAGTTTGACCAACCATCTCGTGAAGAAGTGTCAAGCCATCCCGTTGCGCGATCGGCAACGCGTCTTGTTGCGACTCCACGAACTTCCCGATCTCGCCGATGGCGACCAGAACAAGGATGTGACAGGGCAAAGTAAGGGCAAGTCGGTGGACCTGCCCTTCACTACACGCCAAAATTTCGATGGTCTCAATGTTTTGGCCGAGGCATCGCGCCAGGTCGGTGCGTCCGACCAGACGAAACGGGGCGGTCCTGCATACACTCAGTCGGTGACAGTCGGGGGAAAGACCGTGGTCGTCGACCCGGCTCTCGAGGCTGAAGGCTTTCAAGGTCATCCTACACAGCCGGAGCAGATTGAAGAAGATGCGACCAACGCTCCAGGTATGTCTGTCCAGGTTGTGACCTTCACTCCCTCTCCTTGCCAGAGCTTCATTCACTCATCCCGCTCCCTTTGTCCATTTGCGGCGCGCTAACTCTCAGGCACTCCTCAAGGTTCCAACGCTTCTTCTGTACCTTCCCTGCCTAGTTCCTCTCAAGATCAGCCGCAAGCCGCATCCCCCCCGTTGCCAGACGTTTCGTTGACCCCGGACCCCACCTCCAATGCGCGCCAGTCGCAACTGTCCATGATTGCTGCTTCCGCTAGTGAGATGGTGCCCCACGGTCTCCCAATGGATCACGATGCGGGCGCTGGTCTTACCGACGGTATGCCTAAGATGAGTCCCTCGTGGAACCAGCAGCTGTCCACCCAGGAGCAGCTTCTCTTCGACAGCCTCCAAGAACATGATCCCACCCTCACTGCAGCCACCCAGCGCGCTGCTTCCTTCCCCCGTCCTATTGCTATGAACCCCAATTCTCAGGCCAAGGGCTTCGTGAACGAATTTGGCAATTCTACCAAGCCTACTAAGCCGAAAGTGCGCGGTCGCTTCTCCGCCGCCCGGCGCCGAGAGGTCCAGGAAGTTCGCAAGCGGGGCGCATGTATCCGTTGTCGCATGCTGAAGAAGCCTGTAGGTTGGATGCCCTCTAGTGTTGAATATGCCTCTGACAAGTCCCCTGCCTCTAGTGCTCCGGTGACAGCCCGTGTACCACCTGCGCCAGTGTCGAGAGCGCCCGCTTGTGGAAGCACCCGTGCATTCGCACGCGCATTGCCGAAGAATTCGAGCTGTACAATGCAAGTATGTAACTTGGCTTTGGTAGTGGTTGTCACACACGGACTAACCATTGCAGATTTGCACGCTACTCTTGCCTACCACGATGTGAGCGGTATCCGCAATCAGATCAAATTCGAACACTACGCTGGACGTATTGAGGTTACCCACTTCGAGGAGAGCATGGTCTACGTTACCTTCAGTGGACTCCAGGGCCATAAGGCATCCGCGTCAACGCTTGACCCTCAGCTTCAGGCTCTCGGGGATGATTCACAGTTCCAGGGGCCCCTCCATGAGTTGTATCTGCTAGACAGTGATGCAGATGATCTTCCTGGGAAGATTGAGATGTACATTAAGAAGACTGCGCCGTTCTTCTACGAGCGGGAGACCTCGGATTTCATGAGACCGACTCTGTTGCTTGCAGCAGAGCTAAGCCAGCAGAAGAAGGTATGTTCCTTGCTCTATCTTCGGAAAGCTAGCAGCGTTGGTTGACTTTTTTTCAGGATGTGTTGCTCGAACGGGTGCTGGAACTGTGGATTGCCACTCACATCCTCGCCGATGGAGAATTGCAGTGGAAGACATTCTGCAACCCGACTCTCCCTCCCACGTCGATGCACTCTCTTGCACAGCCATCAGACGACGGCCGCACACCCATTGATAGTGTCACCAACAGCGAGTCATATGAGCTCCTATGCAGCCAGCTGCGGGCCGCAACCGAGAAACGCGCGTCTCAGTTGAGCAAGTCGGTCATGAATGATCTCGAGCGCCGACTGCTTCAGCGCCAGCAGAGCGGCTGGTTCGAGACCTTCTTGGTTGCGCTTATCTTATTGAACTGCGTGGAGCGGACGTGCTGGCTATTCCGGTCCTGGGACGATGAGAACTTTGCTCAGCGGGTAAGCTCACCGCCATACTCCAAAGCGGTCTGTATACTAACTCGTTCCACAGTGGCCCTTGGACAAGCGCCCACCTTACTACGCCAATCAAGGCGATCGCTTCTCCGACATTCTGCACATGTTGTTGAAGATGCGTAGCCTTCCACCAAAAGCTACTCCTCGACCAGATACCGGCATTCTAAAGGCCGTGGATGGTAGTGACGAGAACGCAGCTCGCTGGTTTGACATGATCAAAGTGACTCGTACGTACCTCATTAAGCCTCGAATCTCAGATAGATCGGTGCTAACTACGAATAGCTCTCTTCCTCGAGCAACGTCAAGCCACTGTCTTTGACCCTACTGACTCCCGCTCCCTCGACCTTCGCTACGGAGCCAAGCTCCTTCCGCCTACGAACGTCTACACCTAATTCTGCCTTGCTGCGTCTACTAGTATCTTCTAGTACCAGTTGACGAAATACAGAAAGAAAGCACAATAAAAACAAAGTAAACGACTTTGATGATGACAACAACAACAACAACAACAACAACAACATTAACAACCAACAAACCTCGAATTAAGCAGGCTTCTCTTTTCTTATTCCTCTGCACTATCACATGTCTATGATTGACCTGTTGGCTCTCGTATATGGTGTAGATGGAAGGGCGTGAGTGTGGGCATTGGCACGGGAATGCGAGGAAGCAAAAGGAACGGCAAGAAGAGGACGGACGGATGGATGGACGGAGAATGAATGCAGCGATTATGTGTTTTCTCTTAAAATTTAACCCCCCCTGTAGTAATGTACCGAACGAAATCCATACCTGTGTTTGATTCACGCCTGAGGCACACACACACACACACACACACACACCTCTTTTATTTAGATGGACTCCCTTCCCCTCTTGATCCTCTCCGTAGATAATCTGCAGATTATCCCATTCTGATAACCATGTCCTGGTTCGTCTAATGCTACTTACTACATTTGACAACTTAGCTATCCTTATCTGAGCCTATCATTACTACTATAGACCTGTAGTATTCATTTCATGTTCATATATCTTTTCTCTCTCTCAAGTAAGTAGTGGCCTAGTACAAACTAGTAGTAATCCATATCTCCAAACGAGTACTTTCCCTCCTACTAAAGACTACTGATTTTGTGGCAGGCAATGAATTCCAATTGATTTATCTTGCTATGTCTGTCCTACACTGGAAGTCCTTTGTACAGCACAATAAAATCTTCTACATATCAGTGCCGTGTAGTAGCAGGATATCTTTAATACTGACGACCCTTGAGACTAGTACCGACTCTCCATGCCTTGGGTCGAGGTGTTGTCTACTGATATCATACAAACAAACAAGTGTACACTAGCACAATTCCTAGAACTCAGCATATCTTTATGGCTCGCAACTCGTCATTCAATTGGCAAATTAGGAATAACAAGGCAGATCACAACCGATACAAAAGCGAACAACGCCTTCTAGCTAACTTGCCGTATCTACCAAAGTCCCAAGACATCACTATCAGAAGAAAGAAAAAAGGGGAGTGAGAGGGATTTGGTGGGCGGCGTAACACTAAAGAATGACCCCAAAGAAAAATACCCTTCTGAGAGTACCCGCGCCAGTGTAGCCATATCACTGAGGCTTCTCGTCCATTTAGTGGTCTACATCTGATACTTTAATAGGGTCATTGGGGTCCAAAGGGATTGGTTGGCCCATATGCGGGGGGCTGATACCAACCCCACTTGGTGTAATAAGGAGTAGCACGCGAAGTAGGCAGGCCATTATTTGCCGGAGGATAAGGGAGAGGCTTGCGAGTCGTTGATGGGGTAAAATGATTGGTCTTGGATTGGGGGTCTGATCCGCTTGGAATCTCCGGTCCAGGGCCAACCCGGATAGGATTTGAACGAGACTCCTGGTCGGGAACGAATTCGATACAACCGGAAGCGTCTATTCCTCCCCAGGTGTAGTCTGTACGAGCCATTTCCGAGAAAAAATCGGTCGCAGGCTGGGAAGGGGGCTCACGTGGTGGCACTTCTGTCATGATTGGTTGGCGGCGTCTGCGGCCACTATCTATAGGTTCGCCGTCGGTATCGGAGCCGTAGTCAGTAGCAACCTCGGGGGTTTTGTAAGATTTCTCAGTACTGGGGACTGTTTTGTTGGCTGGTGACAGGCCGTCAGATTCACTAATTTTAACCCCGTCTCGCTTGGGATCATCACTCCTGTCGACGTCGGCAGGGCTGAAAGCTCTAGTGGTGGCGGTGCTTTGAGAAGGAGTTAAGATACCGTCATGGCTAGAAGCACTGGGGACGGTTGTGCTTTGAGAAGGATTCACGATGTCACTATCGGTACAATCGTTATCCTCACCATCCGAGAGACTATAGGTTGGCGGACGGCGTGTCGTGGGCGTTTCATCGTCAGACTTTGCGGAATCACCATCCCCGAGAGTCGCTGAGTTAGATGAGGGCGATATAGCCGTAAATCCTCCATCAATGCGTTCCTCAAGCAACACGTAGTAGGTTTCAGCTATCTTATAGCTAGCGAGGTAGTTGCTGTGGCTTGTCAGCAAGGGTCTCACTCCACGCTATCGGTTCGTAGGCGAAGTACAACTTACTAATTCGCGGGCACCAGCTTCGCTTCCATGGCACTAGTGACCATAATCAGCAGCTCTGTCTCATAGACTAGTTCCTTGTCTTTCAGATCAAGTAGAGGACAACCATCTGCTATCGGGAGACCCGTAGCATCCGACAGCCAATAACGGTCATTGTCTTTTTCGAAAAGAAATAGTAACTTGGGCGCCTAGTGAGTGTCAGGATATACGTAGCTGGAATTGCTGGAGAGAATATCCGACCATTGGATTTGGTGGTGTTCGCCGTAACAATAAGATGAAGGAGCTAAAAGGGATTAGAATCTGAGCGCAACCGTATCGTTCATGTGAGGCTGATTGCAAGGTCAATGAGCAGACTTACTGTAGTATGCGGGGCACTTCACGTAATCTTTTGGCTTTTTTTGTTATTGGCTGTCTCCTCAGTCCTGTAGCGTTAGGAACCACAGAAGGTCAGGCAGTGCAGGTAGAGAGTAAAGGTAGAATCTTCAGCGTATCTCAAAATAAAAATGAGTAGATGAGAAAATGAACCACTGGTACAGCCACAGTTGATACAAAAAGAATGGGAATCAAGAAGCAGCACAAATCCGCCCACATCTATGAGAAGAGAGTAAAAGAGTAAAGAAAAAGAAAAGAAAGGAAAGAACGACGAAATGAAGCGGGCAAGAGGCATCACATCATCATGATCATACAACATGAAAAAGCATACCATCCATCATACATCATCATCACGCATTAGGCAACCGTGACCTCCTGAACCTGCTCGAGCACCACAGCATAATACTTCCCTTCTACAGAAGTATCGTGGTACGGCCCAGCACCTACCAACGCCCTACATCAAAGTGATCATTAGCATTACCCTTGAACACAGCCATCAAGAAAACGAAATCATATACAGAAGAACCATGACTCACCACCCCTTATACTTCGGCTGGTTGAATATATCCGTGAACGCCCTCAAAATCCGCAACGGCAGCTCCAACATGGAAGGCAATTCCGGTCCATCACCGCAAATCGGCAGACCCAATTTATTGACGGGCAGATACACAATCTCGGATGGACTTTGCGGATTCCGCGCCTCCTGGAAGATAAGAAGACGCCTCGACGGGGGTGGCATCGTCACTATGTTTCCTTGCTGGTTCTCGGATCTGTTATCCGCGTAGACTGGATCTAGCACCAGTATCCCCGGTTGGCGTACGCTTGCTAAGTCGGTCTTGGAGACAGTTTCGATCTAGACTTGCAGAGTTGCTTTTCCCGTCACAGGGTGTGCGGTATCCAATAGTGGCTTTTTCGAAAATTGGATTGTGACTATTCAGTGACTTTTCTTATCACCTTGCTGAGAATAATTTAATTTTGCTGGTGGATGAGCCGGTTTTGGCACCCGTTCTGTGCCAGGGGTAAGCCTATATTTAGGAGCCATCATGCAGGTTGAACGCACCAGATCGAGCCAAGATGATAGCTAAATTATATTGAAGCCCCACTGAGGATTGAGAGGTCCGGGAGCACGATGCAGCGTATGCCCTGAAGGGAAGAGGTAAGAATGATACTACCGACTACTGCGTCGATGCGACGGACTTTCGCGCGGCGTGTCGCATCGCAAACACGTGCGCGGGGGCGGGGGACTGCCTTATCGGGAAGCCCCTTATCGTGGCCTCCACTTTCCCGATTCGGAAAGAAAGTCAACTGTGGTGACTCGCCCCATCTTCTCTTTTACTTGTGGCACCAAGTGGCAGATGTTGTTTTGTATGATAGAAAAGCTAGTGTATAGTATATGCAAATCCAATAAGTGTATGCATGCAATGGCTAAAATCGAACGTCAGGGTATCATAGCAAAGGCTTTCGCCCGGACTGCCTCATCAATAAACGCCAAAAGCACGAATAGCCCCGGCAGTCTCATTTCCCCCTCGAGACGTAGGACTATGTACATCTACGTATCAAGCTCTCCATCTAAGACGCGTCGCGCCGCATCCAGACGCCGTCTCAGTAATCGCACTTGTTTCGGGTCCGGGTTCTCGGACGTCGTGATGTTCTGCAGCTCCAAGCAAACATTGCCCAGACTCTGGAACAGCCGCTCTAAGAGATGAGTGTCATCATCGTTCAAGCCCATGTTCCCCTTCGCAGTGGCACTCGGGTGAGGACTGGATGCTGCGCGCACGGTGGACACGAGAGATGACACCAAGGATGTCGGCGTGGTAGATCCGGTGGTTGCAGAATCTGACCTTCGCGGAGGAAAGGTAGCCTCAGGATAGAGGCTAGATTTGTCCCGGCGACTGGGCTGTCTGCGAATGGCCCGGGGTGTTCCTTCGGCGTCCGCATAATCAGTGCCATTGGAGTCATCCACATCTGAGGGATGGTTGTTGCGCAGTTCTAGTGCCAATTAGTCATCCACGCCTTGTGGGATGTTCTTCTAGAAATCTTACCATCATTGAACTTCCGGTCCCAATACAGGACACTCTCAAGATCATCGCGATCCCCTTCAGTAGCCGTAGCAAACGACGCCACGGTGGACAGGGAGGTGGTACTGTTTGCGCGAGAATGGCGCGCGGAACGGTGGTCGATCGGTCGCGTCGTTTCGACTGACGATGTTGAAACGTTGCTCTCACGTCGCAAGCGAGCCTGCGTGTAGTTGCCCAGAGCACTATGTAGGATGAAATGCTCGTAGTCGAAAGCGTCCTCTCGCTCCTCGTGCGGTGTATCCTCCAAACTTTGTGGAGCCGCTGGGAAAGCCTCCAACGAATCATCAAATTCATCATCCAGGGGCTCGCGCAAAATCTCGTCCAATGCCCGGCGGTCCAATGCGTCATCGGCGCCATTTATGTAATATTCACCCTCTTCCGCGTCCTCATAGAGCGTTCCAGCCACAGATTGTCCATCATCGTCGTCCTCCCTAGACTCGTAGGCCCCATAGGTCGGGTCGGCATGTGATGCCTGAGTAAAAGGCGGATCTCGTTTTTTCAGACTTGTCTGACGGGAGACACCAGCCTCGGGCTCATATCTTGCACTTCCATAGTCACTGCGGTGCTGGCTATCTTGGACATAACCAGCAGCCCGCCCGTTCCCAGTACTAGGGTTAGCATTGGTCCGACGTTCTTTCACCTCCGCTGCACTGGGTGCCCATTGGTCCGCTGCGGAAAGAGGGCTCGGAGTCCGCAAACTTTGCATGCTCCGTCGACGCAGATTATCCTCCTGGGCTCTGACCTTTAGGCTAGATATCTTGATATGAAGGCCCTTCATCTGATCCTGGAGATCCCGCACCTGCAGCTGAGACTGGGATCGAGAGGGAGGGTCGTAAGTTGGGTGGACCGAATTGGGTCCGTTTATAGTCTCGGAAGACTCGTCCTCGATTGCTTCCTCGGAAATGCCCAACCCTTTCGGTGAATCAGAGGCGGCTCGTGGATTGGACACTGGGGGCGAGGAACGGATTTGTGGCCTCTGCATCGATGATACGGACGCACGATGGGTGAGATACGCACGCGTTGGATCATACCGGAAGCTTCGCTCGTCATGATGAGGGTTAGGGGCCGTGGTCGAGCCGAGAGCGCTAACCGACCGGGAGAGATTGCGCTCAACGGCGGGCAAACTCGATTGCGCCGCAGAAGGTAGGTTGGTTTCGCTGTGAACACGGGAATGACCGTTGTTATTGATCGCATCCTGGGATGATGTATAGGTTGCGCGTGGTCGATTAGCTGAGCCTCTGCGGTCGGCACGGGAGATGGATTGGTACAAGCCACCAACTGGCTGACCCAGTCCCAGGGGTTGGTGACCCACGGATGGTGTGGGTGAGGCCGACAACGACGGGGACGCGCGCATTGACGTACGGGCTCGGCTTAGATTGCCCTCCATGAGCTGCATACCAGTGCAACAGTTAGTCACTAGTCAAGATTTCATAAGCGCACCCGAGACAGATTGGCAGCATACCGTGAGGCGCTTCTTCGCATTCTCCAGAATTCTCTCCGCCTCGGTGCTCAAAACAGCCGACGACAGCTCCACCCCAGATCCGCCTTTCTCCGTGGTCGCCATTAGACTTGGAGTCGAACCATTTCCTTCCAGACTGTCAATCGCAGAACGTACACCTTCAGGGACTTGGTGAGGATTCTGCACCGTACCGCGACTTTTCTGGCGGTCCTTAGCGGCATCCTGCGACGAGTCGCTAGCACCACTAATTGTCGAGCTAGACGAGCTGCTCCACGCCGCCATTTCCCTAGCCTCCGCCTCAGCCGTCTCGCGTTGCGAAACAGGCGAACCCGTCATCCGACCCGCCTGAGACAGAAATGGGAGTGTCCTCATGTGCGCCGGCGACGACGAGACACTATCCTCCTCCCCGATGTCCGACAACCGACGACTAGGATCCTGAACTTCATTTGGCCACATGCGACGCGAGAATCCCGTTTTCTGAGGCCGGCTGCCGTATGAGAGAGCAATACCGGCGGAACCGACGCCTCGAGCCTGGTCCTCAAAATCATCGGGTGCCGTTCGGTTCTCGTAGAAGGACTGAAGATTGGACAAAGAGGGGAGGTTGAATGGCGGGGACGGGGTGGAGGACTCGCGCTCGTTGGGGTCGAAAGGTAAGATCATATCGGGATTCGATAGGGTCGGCGATGGGGGTATCGGAGGTGGTGGACGAGAAGAGTGTCCAGCATCCTCGGCGGACAGCATGCTTATACCGTGCTGTCTAGCTGTTGAGGCCCGTATATCTAATGAGAAAACAAAAGAGTGAATCCCAGCGCACACGACAGGAATCGGCGCTCAGACCCAGGCCATCTGCAACCAGGGGAGGGGATGAAGGCTCGTCTGGTTCAGCTGGAGAGGTCTGGGCCTGCAGGTAGGACCAGGATTGAAGGGATGAAGGTCAGTGTGGTAATATCTGCAAGAGGAAATCTGCTGCTAGAGATGCAGAGATGCAATCGCAAAGTCAATCTGAGACAGATGAGATTGGGCACACCCTGGTCGAATCAGCGAATGTGGAGGGCGGTGGCAGCGAGGTCAGCGAGGACTCGATTAGGAATTAGGACATAAAAACAAATTAGAATTAAGCATTAACTATTAAAAGCATCGAAGACGGAAAGAAGCAAAAAAAAAGAAGGAAAAGGAAACCGAAAGGAGGGAATAAGATTTGGGATGAAAAGAAAGGCAGCAAGGACGCGATCAGAAAGAAGAGGAGTCAAATTGCCAGTCCACGAATGCAACCAGTTCAGTTCAGTTCAGTCCAACACCAAAGAAAGTGTTCGGGGGGGCCAATTCCAATCTGGGTTTGGGGAAATTTCCACTGCCATAATTATTCTGGTCCCTAGTTTTTTTTTTTTTTTTCTCTCCCGTTCCTTTTTTTGCCTTTTCCTTCCTCTCTTCTCTACCAGCCCCAATCAGGCAGGGATCTGAGCTTGTCGCTGGAGATCCTCAATCAACGGTTGAGGACGATAAGAATCCTCAGGAGACAGTGGGTTCTTGGTTCATGGGAGAGATGGAGCAACTAAACACTTACTGGAAAAGGTGGAGTGAGACCGATTCAGGGAACCGAACAGACAGGGGATGATGTACAGTATCTAAGCCATGGTCATTGTTGCCTCTCGGTTACCCACAGACAGCTACGGGAGTACATGCATTTCATTTAATTAACCTTGAGAGACTTCCAGGATATAAGATGACTTTCATTTCCACCCCTCATCATTATCATCATCATCATCATCATCATCATCAACAAGCCCAGTTCCAGCCCGGTTCCTGAACCACCAACCAGTCCCGGAGATCGTCATTTAACGATCGGTCCGGCCTAAATTCAGCTGCACCATGGAACCAACCTCATTCGGCCATACTATATTAAGTTACTATGACTACTGACTACTCCGTAGAGAGCTGAGATCACCCCTCCCCTGAGATTTTGAAACACCATCCCCTCCGGGAGGCTACCTGCTAGATGCATCAGGAGTAGATGCCTGGGGAGAAGGCTATGCAACTTCTCCGGCTTCTTGGGAGTGGCGCATTTAACTCGGGACGTGCGGTTTCAAAGTTTTGGGGGGCCATGGGGGCGGTAACATCCGTTTTGGGTGTAATTCGTCCATGGGCCACTGTTCTGTTCCTGCTCTTCTCTGCGCTTGCTGCTATTCTACCTTTATAGTGTCTATACTATAGTTAATCATGGGGAAGCGTAGGACAAATACAATACTTTACTACGTTTTGGATCATGCTAAATAAATATCAAAATGCTTTTTTCTGACTCGTTGTGGTCCCATGTCTATCACAGACCCTGTACAGATGGAGATATCACCTATAAGAAAAAGGAATCAATATAATAAGAATCCAACGAACACCTCGATGAGCAAATGAAATGCGTTTGTAAAAGAAGAAAGAAAAAAAAAAATCCCAGCCAATATTACAATGCCCCCCTGCTAAGGGACCGACACAGAGGAAATCTCTACCGGATCTTCTCCAGCAGCAGCTTCGCACCACTGCTGACTGGGCTGCCCTTCTTGCCATCCTTGCTAGTCTCCGACGACGCCTTCTCCAGCGCCTTCTTGTTCTTCTTCAGCGTCTTCAGCAACTCGACCTTCTTCTCAAAGTCGTCCGACTCCGCAAGAGCCACCACGACAAACACATTGGATCCCGTGGCCCACGACATGGTCTCTTCTTGGATCTGCTCGTAAAGGAGACCGTGGAAGTTGAGCGGAGGCTGCACCTTCTCGACCTTCTTCTCGGCAGCGTTAAACCGTCCACCCTGAACCAGTGACTTGAGCAACCGACCCACGAACGGAGAGTCCTTGGTGTCGGCTCTGGATTTGGCGGCCTCAGCCACGGCGGCCAATGCGGCGCTCTTGTCTCCATCGGCTTCGAACAACACCTCGGAGATGAATTGGCATCCAAAGCTCGTCTCGAGGAGAGAGTCGGCACGTGCGGAAATGAGCTCGAGCACGCTCGCCGACGCAGCCTTGACCAGCTCCTGTCGTCGAAGCTCGGGATCCTTCTTGGAGGTCTCCTTACGAATGTCACGAATCTCCTTCAGCAACTCATGGTCGCCGTCAGGCAGAAGCCACTTGACCCGGTCGCCGACAAACGGATACAGGATGGGGATACGCGCTGTCAAGTCGTTCACTTGGAAAAGCAGCTCTTCGTTCCGTGCCTCGGCGTCCATTCCCTGGTTCAGAAGTTCGGGGAAGATCAACTTCGAGGTAAGCTTAGTATCGTCAATAACTTCGTATGCCGTCAACAGAACCAGATGTCCGTGGAGATCGCCGGCCATCATCTTGATGGTATCTCTGTAGAAGCGGGTAAGGAGCTTGCGGTCCTTGGCGTTGGAGTACGCCAGACTCAACGACATCACCCGTGCACCAGACTTGGTAAAAGCCAAGTTCTTCACCAGGTCTCCCTCTTCATCACCCTTCAGCAGCTCAACGAACTCATTAGCCTCGGAGCTGCCCGGCTTAGTGTTAAGGTAGTACTGCAGCATGGCGTCGTGCAGGATGGTGAAACCAGAGTTGCGCTTCTGCACCAGCTGGTTGACAAGCTCCCAGAGGTAGTGCATGATGGGGCCCCTCTTCTCCGGGTGCGCCTCGAGGATCTTAGAGAGGTCTGCACTGGGAGGGCCGTTCTTGTCATCCCTAAAGATGACGAATTCCGGGCCATACCACTCACGGAGGAGGTTCGCCTTCTGTTCCTTCGTCGCAACCGTGCGGTAGATATCGTCGAGAATCCAAGACCCCTCGGGGTGTCTGATGAGTCTCTTGACATGTCCGTAGAACTCGGGCACGATCAAATCACGAACCTCAGCATCACCGTGAACAATCAACTTTCCGACCAGGAACTTGGCATATCGGCTCTGCGCAAGCTCATTGTAGCTGCCCTTCAGTTCCGTGGCGATCATCTTCCGTTGCTCCATGTTGGCGTATTTGAGGGCCGTCTGGATGACACGGACCGAGTCATGCTTGAAAACGAAGTCCTTCACACGTCCAGTAATGATTTCAAAAAGCTCCTTGATGAGCTTCTTCCGCTCCTCGAGCGGAACATGGGACTTGCGACGCAGCTGCTCCCACAGCTTCTTCGAGCGACCGATCATATCAGCGTTGGGTCTGGCGGCCCTGCGCTCTTGCAGGAGGGCCTTTTGCTTCGCATGCGATTCGCGCGACGTAGACTTATCTAAATAATCAAAAGCAACACATTAGTACCAGACTTTTCACCGATGGAAAAATCAATCAATAAATCAATCATACTTTGCTGAGCATCCGCATCCGCAGACTTGGGCTTCTTCCCAGTATCTTCCTTCTCCTCGGCCTCCTCAACATCATCCATAGCAACATCCTCCTCGTCATCCTCATCATCCAGAGCATCAATTTCCGAATCATCAACATCATCCAAGTCAAAGTCATCCTCATCATCATCATCCTCAGATTCAGATTCCTCCTTCTGCGCCTTCTTCTTGCTAGGAGTCTTCTTATCCTTCTTTCCACCCTTGTCGCCCTTCTTCGACACAGACTTGGATGCCTTCACGGGAGCCGCAGACGACTTGGCCTTCTTCGCGGGCACGGACACCGGCGTCTTCGTCTTGGTCCGTTTTCCATTGCGCTCGTCGCCGGCGTCTACTCGACGCTTAACCCCGACCATGGTGGATATGTTTCTTTTAGGGGTTGAAACAGAAGTAGAAAAAAAAGAAGCTATACCCGTGAAAGGAAAACTTCTCTAGCGGGGGATCAGACAGGAAAAAATATAAAATGATACGCCGCCCGCGGGTTAGCTTGCTCTTTTGTCCGGAGAATGGACTTTTTTTTCCCTAACCGTTTTTTGCTTTTTTCGGGGAGGGCGGTCGAGATTTGGTTGGGTTTGGTTTGTTTGCATTGCTGATAAGAGGTGCCCGTGTCTATCTGATGAATTGGGTTTCCGCGGATGGATTGGACTGGATCCATGCAGTTTCGAATATTGTGAATTAGAAGGATCGGTTTTATTGATTTATCAATTGACTTGGTAGGAGGCATTGGTCATCTAGTCATTTATATTGGCTCAGAAAAACGTTTGGCATGCAGGAATCTCTATCGATGGATCAAAAGAAACATCAAAAGTCACCGATGCAAAGCCCCGACAGCGCGCAATGCGATTAGATTTAAGCCAAAACCCACACAATGAATCAGACAAGCAACACGCACAACTGTCGAGGGTGATTGAAAAACAAAAATAATTCACTTCAATGGTAATCCCCTTCCAGACGCCTACAGATTATGAATTACCCAGTATATAGTTACACACCCCCTGCGCTCGTATCACGCATCATGCACCTCCGATTCTGCATTAGCCGGCGGTGCTTTGAAAGTACCTAATTCTGAGCCCACATTGCTTGGGCCTCTCTTACGGCCTGGGATGTGAAAGCCGAGAGTCGATGATTTGGTGGTACTGGAGTTCTGTGAAGAGTCGTTTGTGAAGTCCCCAAATCGAGAGAAGATGCTCTTCCGCTTTGGTTTGACTTCCTCGTCGTCGAGCGCAACCTCCTCATATTGCTCTTCTTCCATGGCTTCCGGCTGCTTGCTTAGATTTGAGTATAGCGTAGATGGTGTTGATGTTATATGGGAGACTCGAGAGTCAAGCGATGTCCGAGATGGCATCGCATCGGTATAGCATACGGGTGATCGGGCGGAGATATCCTGTAAGCGTGGTGTAAGTCACTCTTGCGAAAAACAAACAGGTTCAAGTACGAATGGGTAATTACAAATGATCGGCGATACGAATCAAATGATTCGCGAGATATCGAGAAGGGTTCGTTCTCATTTACGAGATCGCGATGGTGCGAGGATCTCGGAGAACCAGGGTACTTGCGCCAGAAGCCCTGTTTCTCTGGAGGTGAGGGCTGTTGACATGTGAGTTACTTGTCCGCATGCGAAAAAGTCCCGCCATGTGATTGTAACGGTAGTGGTTCACATACGGGATGGTAGATTCCATTGGCGTCGACGACTGGCGGGAAGAGGATAGAGTTAGCGGGGTAAAAAGATCCATTGAACTTGGTCCCAGGTGGCATACCACTGAGTTTATATTCAGGTGGCTCATTTTCGGAACTCTTCCTGAAGCTCAAAGGACTCGAGCCATGAGTGTCGAGTGAGACCTGGCTAGCAGAGTTATCGTTGGGAGCGGCACTGACTTCCCCGCCATTGGGGGCAGTGGACTTTCTGGACAAGAAGTTGCGGAACGGCGCCATGGTGAAATGCTAAGGAAGGGAAGCAGTCGCGCAGGCGCAAAGAGACGGAGAGTCCCTGACAGGAGAATAAATATGATGAGGTGGTCAAGCAACAATGGCGAGACCTGAACCGGGCGAGTTGCTTGCCAGGATGTACAACGCTCAAACCTCACATGATCGGCGGTCTCGGGCATCGGTTCAATTTATGAAAGGGTGGTTCATCCGCTGGCGGTGCAATCACAATCTGTTGGACGGGGTCGTTCCGACTTTTGCGAGGGGTAAGAAAAAATTGGAAGAAGAAAAAAAAAATCCTAATGGCTCTCAACACAGTTGATTTGCCACTGAGTTGTGTGCAACGAACCTATCCAGACTAGCCAGGCATTTTGACCTCTCACTAGTCGAAAACAAGGCCGGGGAACTTGGGCACATCATCATCGCCTTTATCCCAGGCATTGTAGTTCCATACTAGTGTCCGAGATAGCGTCATTGTGCCCCATTCATGTTCCTTTTCATGAGGGGGGTTATGCATCACCTGACTAAGCATTTCCTTGTCTTGGTAACGTCAACAATGCCATCGTAAACGTAGTCCACACGGTGCTATTACTACATGGCTACAACTCTATTCTGACTATCAATGGTTACCCTACCTTATCCGTTAAATTTCCAGGATCTCTTCTGAAACCCCTGATGGCTACTAAGTTGAGATGATTGGTTTTTGTTTCTCTGTTTCCCCCTTGCCGCGTGCTAATAGCATGATAATGACTTGGAAGAATACCACTGGAAACGCTCTCACATTCATTCATATCAAGCAAGGCGACATAGCTCGCTGTAGATCATACTTACTTGCAGCGGCGTCGTCACCTTCATAAGTCAGAAGTTGTGGCTTGCAGAACCCCATCCCCGTACATGCCAATCTATCGGATACGATATCCCATTGGCCGTGTGTCAAAGCCAGGGGGGCACATGCAACCTCTGCCGACCATGCTTCGTTGAAGTCTATCTACCTCTGGCTAGTTATATTGATGCAGAGTCTAAGAGGGTGCTAACACATACTCTGTAAAAAGCGCTCGGGGGTGTTGATCTCTTTCCGCCTAGCAGACTATAGACGTCCGCGTCGATTATGCTCTAGCCCGAAGACGATTGGCTCATTGTAATGTATCTCCATTGCTATTGACAGTTGACACATATACAGCGTATAACTATCCCAGTGGCAGCTATATTCTTCTCTCGTATTTGGTTAAGCATGGCCAAGAGCCTCCGACATTACCTTTCTGAAGGCTGCCGACCCAGTAGTATGAGGCCAACACGGGTCCTTTAAAGGCACCTACCCGTGGAGCTCTTGCCAAACATGACGGAGGCAGTGGTGTGCCTGCCATGTACATGCGTGTCATGAGTATTGCTGCACTCCATCTGATCGTCTTTATGAGACAATCCAACGTGATTATTCTGGCTCATTCCGCTTGCGATCGAGATATCACATAGCTTGAAAAAGTATAGGTCAGACTCCACGTTTTGCTACTGGCAGCAAGTTGATTCTCGTCTGAGATAGCGACACAATCGAGTCGATGTCTAGATATCTTATCTGACATCTTGTTGTCCACAGCCTCTCCTACTATCAACTATCACCATGCCTAAACTTTCGCCGCTGATCGTCTCGGTACTATCGATTTTCGTTTTGGTCGGACTGGTCTCTGCCACTGTCCTCCCCCGGAATATCAGATGCGAAATTACCGCACCTTACTGTGAAGATAAGACCGGCCATTTGATTACTACTCTGCGCCGTGACGTTCATGGCGACTACGACGCCGATGTTGAAGATCTGAGCGATTCCGCTCAAGATGAATTAGCAGCCCCTCTTTGCAACGACAATTCCCAATGCAACCTTGGCCAAATCTGCAACCAGGGTTTCTGTGTCGCAGGTTGTAAGTCCAATGTGGACTGTTCTCGCTTTCACACCTGTTCCAAAGGGTCGTGCACAGATAGCCGTGGTAGCAGATGCGCCCCAAACAGGAGCAGATGTTCTCTCAGCGCCGAATGCTGCTCCGGACGATGCAAGCGCTGGGGCGGTTTCGTGGGAAGAAGAAGGTGCAGGGGCTTTAGAGATGTGTGAGGTTAATAGCCTGGCTGCTTCTATTGAAGCCTTATGTGGGCGGACTGGTGGCTGGAGGGAAACGAAGTATTGTCTACCAGTTGTGGCGCTGAATGAATTGCCTCTCTTGGGCACAAAGGCAACCACTATCGCCTCACCTATTGCATGGATCATGTATTAGTATCAGAGCGGAGAGGAATGAAGGACGCATCTTTAGACAACATGATAACTTCATTAGTAGATTTGTCGATTGTAGTAAACCAGTCAGTTACCGTGGGTTAGTCGTAGCTACACATTGATACCTTACTGGTATGTATTCGTAATGTCACAGACTCACACCCATTGGAGGAGTAGTTAATATAATGATATATTCTCTGAATGGAACTGTGTCCAGTGCAAAAGATTGCAGTTTGCTCTTGAAATGAGCAAAAATCCAGCGAATACGACATGCTGTGAGTAACACATAAGTAAGATGCAATATAATTATTTAATATCTGTCACGGATAGTCCGGTGGGAGGTCAGCCGCCAAGTCAATAACCTTGCTTAGGTAATTGCCAGCGGGACTGGTGCCTGGTACGAATCCCGGGGTCGTCATTGTACTCGTGCGAGTAATCCACGATGCTATGAGGCGCTAAGCAATGGAAGTGACCCTTGAGGGAAGCAATTCTGCAGAGACATTTCCACCCCGGGATGGCGTCGCCAGATTACACCGTCCCGTTACAGGGAAGTTGGCACTTTGGCTGAGCAACTACTATTCTCTTCTTTTTGCTTCCTTTTTTTTTGGGCCATATAAATGGGTGCTAAATATTCCTTCTAATTCTTTGCGCATAAATCTGCCACTCTTTAGTGAATGAATTAGCAGTTTCAACTCTATCCGTGTGTTACGTTGATGTTCAATACTAAGAGTTTCAGACGGTCGTTGTGTATGGCTTCGCTTCAGTCCGCATTAGTATATATCAGGACCGTTGCTTTCCGCTTTACCCCCGATGGCCGGCCCTTCGAGCTGAACAATTTATCTATGGAAACCGTCTGAATCCAAGTGTCGATAGACTGTTATTTATGGTGAATATCTTAAGCCCAACGATGAAAGATCACAGTGTCTAGGCAGGTATGCTATTGAATCCCGCTGTCATCATATGTTACTATGCCGCATTCACTTCATGAACCTTCTTTCCCCCATTGCAGTCTAGTACTTGCACCTTCCCCAGCTACCAATATTGTAACGAAGGACCAGCTATCTGCTTTCGTACCTGGTAGCCTGCATCTCCCACCCCCCCAATTTCAAGCACCATACACTGTTCAGGATACCCTCCAGGCTCACAACTGAAGCAGCAAAGCCGACCTCGACATACGTCCTCTACAGAACTGTCTGGGACAGTTACAATCCGCACCAGCGAAGTCACCCAGGAGAAGCCTTTTGTCTATAATTTACACGACTGTTTTCCTGAATCTACGCTGGCTGCATTTCCCCAAAAAGACCCAACACCCACAAAACGCACCATGAATTTCTGGATTGGTTGGGCGCTCTGGCAGAAACTGAGCTTTGTAAGATACCAAAGGCCTCAAGAACGAGGAATGTCGCTAATCTACTGACCAGGCGCTCGCAGGTCTTCTGGTAAGGAGTCAGTGCTAGAATGGGGTACATCTCACTAACACGTCAAGGCGTTGGTATTGGTGTACTCATTCATCGTCCTAGCCTACAACAGGCGAAAGACCATGAAATATGCCACCGCCGAAGCACGACAGAAAGCAGAGATGCAACCCATGCTGGCCGAACCGTGCGATATACCGTTTGGCGCTAGAGCTTTGGAGAAGGGAATTCAAGTGGAAGGCATATGGACACCAGATTGCCATTCTGCAAGACAGTCCACCACTCACTCGGGTAGTAGACCTGGAAGTACTGCGTCGGCGCCCAGGCCGATGTTGATGACGTTGACAGGAGATGATATCCAAGGTCTTGAGCGAACATATCAACCGGCACCCAGCCCAAGCATCTATGACCAGTGCAGCTCCCCCAAGGTTCTAGACATCGAACACGGACAAACTGAGTACATATCTCTCTCGCCAACCAACCAGTCTCTCCAGCTGGATGGCCCCATTAGTATTGGACCGGAATACTCATCTGACTTAGACAAGCGTCGCTCAAGGTGGTTTGGTGCGCGAAGCTCGTGGGTCAAGAAGCCCTTCGACAGTTACAAAAGAAGATCAACACCAGAGGGTAAGGTCCTGAAGTATAACGGCCTGAACTTAGCAAGCTAAATATTACACAGGGCTTCGCCGCACTTCATCGGAAAGTTTCAGAAGGAGAATCAGCAAACTCATAGACGAGAATATCCGGACAAACCCGGCTGAAATATATCAACTAAGGGCCATAAACCAGGAGACGCTTGAAGGCCGTAGAACGCCATCACCGACGAGGTCGCAAGGCATTGCAAATGCCATGCTATGAGCGTGCGTGACCAGATTGATTTGCCATCCTTCCAGCCAGCCTCTGCTGTTGACCCAGTTACATGCAAATGCAACAATACTATTGAGAGGCCCATCACCCAATCGTTGGATATCGTTTAGTCATGGATAAGCCTCGGTTACCGTGACGAAATATGTTGCGAAACAACTGCACCCCGGAAGCGCGCAGTACATGCAACGGAGACGGATTGTATTTTCTTTTTTCTTTTCTTTATTGTGATACAGAGAAAGTATGTGCTTCATATGCAGTCGAATAGCACAGATTTGACTTGACACGTATTGTATTAATGTAGACATAAGGATAGGCCTCACAATTGTCAACTAAGCTGAGAACGGTAAATGGCCCACCAAGGCAACAATCTGATGCCGCTGGGCACGTGATGTCGCGACTGCCTGGACGCGTCCACAATCTCAACATGACTTGAATAAACGCGCTGCGACAACGGCAATTTGCCACCATAGAATAAAAACCACGGATTTCTGGACAATTCTGCCTTATTGATCACGGAAGCCGGGTCGTGTGTTGCAGTCGATCCAGTGGTGAGATTTGAACCACATCAGGAAACCGCAACTGATCTAGACGCGTGTGCGCGCGATCAACAGGCTAGATCTATTGCCATCCCCCTAGACTTCTTTGCAGTATAGCTACAAAAACCACTGGATTCCGACGCTACAGAAGTCTGAGCCCTGTGTGAAAGATGACTGCCGACACCGATACTCAGAATGAGTACGACGATGGGCTTCCGGGCCCCGGAGCGCCCACGCCACTCTCTTCCCTGGAGGTGAGCAATTCAAACGGCAAAATAATATATGTGATGACGGGTAGGTGAAGTGCATGTACTGATGCTCTTCGTAACAGGGTGTCTCGGGCCTGACAAGTAGGGATATTAAGCTGTTTGTTGATGCTGGATACAACACTGTTGAGTCGGTTGCATATACGTACGTCTATCCTTTGCCAGTCTGCTTCCGTGCCATCGCCCTTTTTTTCAGTTCTGCTCACAAGCATGTTCTTGATTATGGTACAGGCCGAAACGTTTGTTGGAACAAATCAAGGGTATTTCGGAACAGAAAGCCACGAAAGTCCTGGTTGAGGGTGAGTATTGCTCTTGTGGCATTGGAACTCGTGCGCGAGGATCTTGTCTGACTCAATGAATTTGTAGCTATGAAGCTTGTACCGATGGGCTTTACCACCGCGACCGAAATGCATGCGCGACGAAACGAACTTATCTCAATCACGACAGGCTCGAAACAGTTAGACACCCTTCTTGGAGGTGGCCTTGAGACAGGCTCTATCACAGAGATCTTTGGAGAGTTCAGGACAGGAAAAAGTCAGATATGTCATACACTCGCCGTGACTTGCCAATTGCCTTTTGATATGGGCGGAGGAGAAGGAAAATGCCTATACATTGACACAGAAGGTACCTTCCGACCAGTGCGTCTGTTGGCGGTTGCACAGCGATACGGGCTGGTGGGAGAAGAGGTGCTGGATAATGTGGCGTACGCTCGTGCGTACAACTCAGACCATCAACTTCAGCTACTCAACCAAGCTTCTCAGATGATGTGCGAGACTCGGTTCTCGCTCCTTGTCGTTGATTCTGCCACTTCTCTGTACCGGACAGACTTCAACGGTCGTGGTGAATTGTCGTCGAGACAAACACATCTCGCGAAGTTCATGCGTACTCTGCAGCGCCTCGCTGATGAGTTTGGTATTGCGGTCGTCATTACGAACCAGGTCGTTGCCCAGGTGGATGGTGGCCCGAGTGCAATGTTCAATCCCGATCCGAAGAAGCCAATCGGTGGTAACATTATTGCGCATGCAAGTACGACGCGGCTAAGTTTGAAGAAAGGACGGGGCGAGACTCGGGTCTGTAAAATCTACGATAGCCCATGTCTCCCTGAGAGCGATTGTTTGTTCGCTATCAATGAGGATGGTATCGGGGACCCGAACCCCAAGGACTTGGAGAATGACTGAAAAGGGCGCGGATAGACTCTCAGGCTACGAGTTCATGATTATAGTTGTTTTGCTAGCATGTATAGGCTGCGTAAATAATAATAGCCTCGGACATTCTAATATTCAGTATAACTAGTCATCATTTTTTGTAATATGAGTCAATTCGCATTATCCATCGAATCGGTTGGTGTAGTTGCGGAGATGCGGCAAGGCGGTGGCAGCTTTATTGCTGGGGGCGGCGCCAAGACCTGTTTTTTCTGGAGCGCCGAAAGAGCTTCAGCTTCTGCCCTTCAACTCCGCCGTGCAGCGACACCTCCCTCCAATTACCTCCATCGGCCATGGAGACTTGAACTGACCATTAACTCCAGATCGTGCAGTGTGGTCTGTTCCTTAGTCAAGTCATGGCTAGAATCTACAAAGATACCCGGGTCGACCTCCGGCCGTACTCGCCGAACACCGTCGTCAACATCCCGATCTCGACCCAAGAAAGTACGCAAAGCCGCGCGCGATTCTCGGTCATCTCAAGCCCCAACCGTGACGAGCCGGTCGCGAAGGACGAAGACGAATTTTCCAAACGATACTTAGCGAGCCAGGGTTCGATCTATTTCCGCAAACGCAATGTCTACCCCCGAACCTATCTGTGGAGAGTTGTCGACAACAGCAAGATCTTGGAAATCCAGTGCGTGGATCTGACGAAGGCTGGTATCGAGCACCACGAATACAATGTAACACTGCGCTTGGAATTTGAGGAAGGAATTGTTCCTTCAGGCGTTGATTTTGCGGATCTGGAGGATCACGAAGCGTTGAGCGTGTTCGTGATCACCACCTCTAAGACTCTCCACACCTTGACACTGCGCCCTGAGTTCTTCCGTAGGACTGCATCAATTGACGATAACATCTCCGACTGGTGCAAGACTTTCAACCCGGCACCTCTCACATTCTCTTATCCGCACCGTCTACATGCGAGCAGCCCGCTGGAGCTGTTCGTCTCCCTCGATAATGGCGCGCTTTTGCGCCTGACTAGGAAGTCTGGTGATGATGGTAATTCCACCTTCCTTGCTTTTGTTTCACACCACCAATTGTCATGTAACTTTGATACTGATCTGTCTTGATGTGTCTCAGGCTCCCACTGGTCTTCCCTGACATTCGACGAAAGAACCTGGGGCTCGTCGATTCGTGGGCTGGTCAAATGGCATGCGCAGCCGTCGATAAAATACAGAGGACGCACCCTTGAATTGAGCGCGCCAAATGCTATCGCCACTACAACCGATCAGACTTATGTATTCGCTGTCTGCTTGAACCACACGCTCAAGATCTGGAACCTTGCTACCAACAAGTTGGCTGCTACGAAGGACCTATTGGACCGTGAGGTGCAACCGTCGGAGGAGTCTTTGTACTCGCTGAATCCGTCCGAAACTTCCTTCATTAGGGTCTTTAATATGGAGCGTGCGCTTGACGGTGCCTACCGTTATTACGTCGTCACTTACTCGCCGTTCGAAGACGGGCTCTTCAAGTTCTGGGCTGTAAAGGGAGGCCTGACATCGCCGCTTGTTATTGAGGATCTGTACCCGGGTGCTGCATTGAAGCCTCTAGATCCCGACTCGACCGGGAGCATGTTCTGGAGTATCGCCGACTTCCAGATCAAGCCTGCAGAGGAAGGAAAACGCATGGAGCTGTGGGTTCTGTGGAGAAACAGCAGCCTATACCAGCTGTTCACGCTACATTTCAACTTCGAAACACTGGTGACGGATTGGAAGTCCAATTGGGCGTCTACAGTTACGGACACCCGTGGCCAGGAATATCCCCCTGTCATGGCCTTGTCTGATGTGGTGGACCCGACGGAGAAGTGGCTCGAGTTCCTTCTGCAGCCCAACAAATACTCGGCGGAGGTCCTTGAGACTGCTCTCTCTATCTACCAGGAGGCACTCAGACCTCTGTCATCACCCAGCACGCTGAAGAAAAGCGCTCCTCTTGCAGAAAGGCTCTGCTCTACGGTTGCTGCTACTGTCTCTCTCCGCAAGTACGCCGATGATGGGATGGACTTCACACGGTATCGGACAGATACGGACTCGAAGTGGCGCCAATTCTGGCAGATTGCGGATGATGTCAACAAGAGAAGATTCGAGCCAGTCTCCCTTGCATATGACGCTTACTATGAGACACCGTGGATGGTCCTTTCCGACAGCTGCGCTGTAATCCGTGAATGTAGCTCAACCGAACTTATTTTACACAACTCTGGTCCAGAGCTTCGCGCGGAAGCACCTAAGATCGTTGATCGCTGGAGGCACCGGAATCTGGATTCAGAGATCGGCAGCCTCTTCGAGGATGCCTCTCACCTTCTGAACGTTGCCTCTAGCTTCCGGAGGAGCTTCGCTGCTGAACTTGAAGTGGCATGCCAGGGTGCCCTTGAAGCAGAGCTGTTCACTGAACCCTCCATCTCTGTGCAGGATAGGATGGAGGCGTTCCGCGAGCGATGTGATTTTGGAGAGCAAATCTCTAATAAGACATACGATGGTCTGGTTGCTGCCATTAACGAGCGTTTGAATATCTTCAGCTTGCAGAATGAAGTCTTCTACACCCTTGTGGACACGATTCCACTGGGCTTCCCTGGAAAGGACTCTGACCTCGTAAACACTCATTTCGGTGTCAAGGTCATCGTCAACGGTGTCCAAGAGACGATTGCCTTCACGCGAAAGACTCTGACAGACCTCTTATATATGATTATTTTCATCGATGGTGAGGTTCAGCAAGAGGAAGACTCGACATTCGACGCCGCAGACTTGTTCGTCACCATTATAACCCTCCTGAGGGAGTACGAGATGATGTCTTGGCTGAGCTCGAATTCCCGCAAGTGCTCTGACAGACCGGCGAAGGCCACCGACGACATGTCTGTCACCTCGTTCTCTGTCAAGGAAACACCAGCAACAAAGGGTGGCGAGAGGATAGCGACTATCCTTGAGGATCTGTTCGCCAGCGATATCAAGCCACGTCAAGCCGTCGGCCTGCCCCAGAGCTACACGATATCTCTTGGTATCCGGGACATACTCTCTTGGGTGACTCGTCAAGGCGAAGTCGCCTATCCCAATGCTCTTGTCTACATACAATGCGACCTCATCGCCAAGAACAACATTGACCTTGCATGGGACTTCCTCCGCTTCCAAGCGAGCACGTCCTGGGCAACCTATGTTAAGGGTCGGCTGTACGTTGCCATGTCCGAATACGACACTGCGGCTTTGTATTTCCGCAAAGCTGCCTATCTTCTTTGTAAGTATTCGCCTCACCTATCCGTTGTGAGCCTCTGTCTGACCTTGCACAGCGTGCGGAAAACCCCTGGGTAACCTGCACGAGATGTCCTCGACCCTCCTGGACATCGTCTCCGTGGACTGCTTCCACAACGGCCTTCCCAAGTACTTCCAACACATCTTGACGATATTCGAACATGCGCGCTCGTTCTCCCACGTTGCCGACTTCGCCAGCCTCGCGCTACAGGCACTTTCCAGTGAGCACGGAAGCGAGCAAGACCCCGAATTCGCCAGCTTACGGGCCGACCTCCTCTCACGTCTGTTCTATGCGTCCCTGCAGAACTGCCAGTTCGACCAGGCATACTCCGCGCTGGCCAGATACCGGGACCGCGCCCTGCAGAAGTCTGCCCTGAGCTCTCTCATCACCGGCATCCTGGCCGCCTCAGGACCCGGCACCGCTGGACTAGAGAAGATCCTTCACTTCCCGACAACGCTCATCCCCAACATCGCCTCCCACGTAGACGATATCCTGGCCTCGCTTGCCCGCAAGCAGACCTCCTTCAGCTCCTACCTCGACACAGAGAGCAAATGGGCCGACAGCACCCCCGACTACCAGCGAATCCTACAAGCATACCGTATCGCACGGGGCGACTACCGCGGCGCAGCAGAGATAGCCTACCGCAACGTCCAGCGCCTCCGCCACGCGCGAGACCACTCAACCCATCTGGTCCTCACCCGGGCGCGAGAAACCGACGACAGCCGACCCATCGAGGAAGACGACCCGGAAAGCAAGGAAATTCGCCACGAGCTCCTCTCCCTCATCAACCTCCTCGCCTGCGTCGACAAGAGCGAATCCTACATCCTCGTGGATAGAGACGGACCATCCTCCTCTTCCTACAATCCCCTCACCGACCGCCGTCGCAGCAGTCTCGCCCCCGCCGATGACGACGGAAACGTCTTCATGGAAGACGCCGAAGCCACTACTACTGGTGGCCCGGCTTCTCCCACCCCCTACAGCTCCTCATCCCACCCCAACCAACACCGTCGCCTCAGCGCCAGCCCAACCGCCATCCGTCCCTCCAGCCGTCGCGACAGCAAGTCCTCCATCACATCCGCCACCATCACAATCCCCCAACGTCGCGCCATCGTAACGCTGGACCATCTGCGTCGCGAGTTCCAGACCGAGCTGGATCGCGTCAGCCGTATCGAGCGTGGCGACTGGGAATTTGGAATCCTCGATGACGGTGATCCCGCTATTGGAGGCCAGGATCATGATGATACGATGCTTCTCGCGTAGATTTGCTACTTTCAGCTTAAAGCTATTCCTGATTTATTTTTTCCCTTTCGATTTTCTCATTGTTCAACTATTTTCCTTATTTTTTCCGTCCACTCAATCCATCCAATCGTCTATTACACAATAAATACGGGAGTTGAAGGAATCTTAGTTACTACTATAGCTAGGTAGTTGCCTTGTTACGCTAGTCTAGTCTAGTCTAGTCAAGTTCGATTCGGTTACATCGTGATCAGCCCTGTTGTCATCCTGTTTTCTTAATATCCCCCTATTAATACTCCGGACTTATCCTAGAACAGTAAGATTGTGTATATCTCCGATCCGGACATTTTCCTTGTTTTTCTTTCTTCCTTCCGCATGCTTTCCTGCTCGATCGATCGATCTGGGGCGGCTGGCTGGAAGGATCGTGTGTGCGTGTGTATGCATGTATGTATGCTGTAAAGTACTCGTGTGTGAGTGGTGGGCTAGTAAAGTAGGAGGAGCAGAGTTCGGGTGTAGTATTCTATTTTAGGCCTAGATACTGTTTCTTCAACCTTGATGGATGATGGAGATTCTTTCTATGTTAGCTTAGTTTCAATTTAGGAAGTTGTCTAGATCCCTAGGAAGGAGTGTTGATCCTGATCATT